ATAAGACGTACACTTATTAACACTCGTTTTGAATTTTGTCCCCATAGCTGGCTCAGTTTTGTTGTTACTAGCTGTACAGCAAGAAAAATTTTCATTGAATCATACCACCGAGAAAGGATTTCTAAAGAGTAGCAGCCGTATTAAGGAGTAATTGGCGATGAATGAAATAATTAATCGATTACTCCTGAATTATTCGAAATAGTATCTCTTCGATGATCATACGTTTTCAACTTAACGCCTTTTGTCGAATCGTGTGATTTGGATTTGGCACCAACTGGTGCTGTTAAATAAGGAAACGATCAAACTGGTCGTGGATCGTTTCACCGAGGAGATGTATCTCCTTATCGGCACGTGTATGGTTCGACGATTTTTCCATGAGATGACATCCTCGGTTCGGTCTACGAGCGAGAAATGACGTTTCCACGGACACGTTGTCACACGAGTCTCCACAAGGTTCGATTGTACGCACGCGCTTAAAAGTGGCAGTAAGATTTTCGATTCACAATCGAGTTGCTACACAACATTTTTTAAACTAATTGGAAAACAACAAGCGTAGAATGTCGGGAAAGTCAAAGGCATTTACTAAGGAGGAAGAGCTCCTTCTTCAAGACTTCTCGCGGAACGTTTCGACGAAATCTTCGGCGTTATTTTATGGGAATGCATTTATCGTTTCGGCGATCCCAATCTGTGAGTAGACAGTCTCGAATACTTTGCAAATATAATTTTTATTATCGTTATGCAAGCATGTAAAGATTCTATGAAGAATTTTAGAGCATGTTTATATTATGATTTCGTAAGAAAACGTATAATTACATAGGAATCTGAAGTAGAAGAAGGTAACCTCTGCCACTTTTTCCACAGGGCTCTTCTGGAGGATTCACTTGATCGACATTTACGCGAACTTAATTTCCTTCGTATTAGTTACCTTAGTGAGCACGTACGCTCTTGCACTGGCATACAAGAACACAAAGTTCGTACTGAAACACAAGGTACCATTCATAGAAAGTACGAACAAGGTTTCACGATCATGTTCGTAAGTTAACGAAACGACATGTTACAGATCGCGGTGAAGAGAGAAGATGCAGTGACAAAAGAAATGAGCAGAAAGTTAGCAGAGGACAAGAAGATGAGCAAGAAGGAGAAGGATGAAAGGTGGGTAAATGGCTTTAGAAACGATTGAAAACAAGAGTAACGCGGTGTGATTTTTAGGATCTTGTGGAAGAAGAACGAAGTAGCCGATTACGAAGCGACGACGTTCTCAATTTTCTACAACAACGCCTTATTTTTAGCTCTTATAATTGTATCCTCTTTCTACATTTTGAAAACGTTCGCACCAGCTGTAAATTACATCGTATCCGTGGGTCTGACGAGCGCACTGTTAGCGTTGCTGTCAACTGGGTCGCAGTAAAATATATTCGATGTTCGAATATAATCATTCGATGCTCATATATTTGTGCGATTTCATCATTTATTTTATATCGTTAAGTTCGCGAGAGTGAATGAGTACGTATTAAAATAAAACCATTTTGTATTTATAGTAAATTGTTACCGTTCCATTTATTCATTTTGGCCCACATTTGAGACAATGTATTCATTGTTTACCACCTTGTTTACAGTTTTGGTATTTTAGTCTTTCTACAGCTCATTCCCTGTTACAATAATAACGTCTCGTATTATATTCTTGGATGTCAACCATGCGAACAAAGTAATTTAACCGTGTTGGTTCCATATAGCTATGCAGGAAAATACGTCCGTGGAATTCAATTGACTGTGCTTATTATCCAACGCATATTTCACGGTCGAGGAATTTGTCTTCTTGGCAAGACTGTTAATATTTTCGAATTACATCGCGCAGCGCAGCAAGTGGGTACCGCCGATATCGTTTGAGAACGCGAATCGAATAGTTTCGTACATATTAATTAAGCTGGCTTTATTACGGTTGACGAATTATAGTGGATCACGGATTGTAATCCATTATACGCGTAGCCCAGATCGGGTCATTCTAATGCTTTATTTGCTTGTTTAATTTGGACCAGTGCCAGGGTATAATCCGTCGAAGGGAAATCTCTCGCCAAATCGTATATTCTATTCCTGTACAGAAGTGAAAATGCAAACAGTCATTTACCGATACGATATGTATCTACTTATCGAGTCGCGTGTTATTCTAAACATCAATTTCGTATAATAAAATACCCTGATGTTCATACTACGTAATTACATGTTATGGACAATCATCCGTAACATGTGATAGAGCGATAAAAGTGTCTCGCAGATAAATGGCATCCTAAGAATTTACAGTACTTTAACTGCTCGTTTGAGTATCTTAATTCTCGCTAAATAATTCTGCATGGTTTCGCTCGTTTTCATAACGCGAGAAACTCCGTATTGGCACAATCGCGGCCAAGCATTTGGCAGAGACACATCAGTTTCCTAGTTTGATTTATGCCGCCGCGTGATATTCGCGTAATCTTGACAATCCTCGACGGATAAATCAAGATTCGATTATATTAGCCAGCTAACGTGCGAGAATCGGAGTCTGTCGATGACTCAGTGCCTGGAATCTAGACTAAACGTCCGATAATCGCTGATTTCGTTGATAAATAATTGTTTACTAGATGTACCGTTCATACATAAACTGCGCTAGTTCGGTCACATGCATCTTGGATCTTTCCCAAAACTGTTGATCTATGTTCTCCAGACAACAACTCGCTTATTATTGCGGATGATTAGGGTTGCCAAACACACCTTGTTGTCCGGTAATGTTCCGTCAATAACAACTTTGTTATATATTAGAAGCTGCCCGTATCTCGACAAAATAACTCACAACTGACGGACTCACGACTTTCCTTCGAATTCCATTTACGCATAATTGAGATAATTTCATCGTGTATCTAAGGAGTGAATCCAAATATATGTATAAATTTTTTTTTAATACTTTCGTTTTCTTACCTCCAAGTTAAAAGTTCAATCGAATAATACTGCATGCGTTTTACTGTCGTTTACGCTGCCCGTCGAATTTTCATTCTCTATTTTTGTACGCGTACAGCGATATCGTTCTCCCCTTCTGAAAAAGACGTACACACGGTATAATCGACTGAATGAACTGAAATTCAAGAGCGAACACGCGTTGCTCCAGGAAATGTCTAAAATTAAAAACGAATCCATCCCTTCCCTACGACGTACATATTAATTTCAGTCCTGGACTATTTACGAGTTGCACGATTCTTTGCTCGTAAAAGATTCCGAGACTCCCTCTTTACAATTCGTTCAAGAGAATCATCACTATAGAAAGTCGTCGAGATTTTTATTCCCTTGAGAAAGAGATTCTATAAATACGGAACTATTTATAATTCAGACGAATTCGAAATCGACTGATCAATTTTTCAACGACCATAACTTTCTGTCAGCTTGAATTTAAAGAATCAATCGAGAATCTATTGAAATTTACATCGATAGAAAGCGGGAAAAGTAGAAAGGAGATCTGGCATGGTAGGACGAGGCAGAAACTGAAAAAAAGGACGAGAGATGAGAAGCTGGAGCAACGCGAATGAAAAGACGGCCCTGATTTCGAGCCTCGCGGCGATGTCTACATCCCAGAAATAGCGCAAGCGCCTTTCCAAAAGCTCTAAGGCCCGTGAAGAAGCGAATAGGAGGAGCTCACGATTGGCTGGAGGTTGCGGGGTGCGGTCTGGCTCCGCTACGCAACCGCTATATTCTCCTTTTCGAATATTACCGCGACGGTATCCGCTTCTCGTGACAGTATTCAATAGCCAGCAAGCATAATACCACGTTAGAATCACGATTATTGGTTTCTTTCTTCGTTTGGAGTAATAATTCCTCGTTCGCGGTTCTCCACGCTCGTGTTCCTCTCAAGTATAGCCGTTTTTAATTTAAAAAAAAGAAAGTAAAAAGTAAAAAGAGAATCGCGCCACCATGGTATGTTCTTTCAGTCCTGGACTATTTACGAGTTGCACGATTCTTTGCTCGTAAAAGATTCCGAGACTCCCTCTTTACAATTCGTTCAAGAGAATCATCACTATAGAAAGTCGTCGAGATTTTTATTCCCTTGAGAAAGAGATTCTATAAATACGGAACTATTTATAATTCAGACGAATTCGAAATCGACTGATCAATTTTTCAACGACCATAACTTTCTGTCAGCTTGAATTTAAAGAATCAATCGAGAATCTATTGAAATTTACATCGATAGAAAGCGGGAAAAGTAGAAAGGAGATCTGGCATGGTAGGACGAGGCAGAAACTGAAAAAAAGGACGAGAGATGAGAAGCTGGAGCAACGCGAATGAAAAGACGGCCCTGATTTCGAGCCTCGCGGCGATGTCTACATCCCAGAAATAGCGCAAGCGCCTTTCCAAAAGCTCTAAGGCCCGTGAAGAAGCGAATAGGAGGAGCTCACGATTGGCTGGAGGTTGCGGGGTGCGGTCTGGCTCCGCTACGCAACCGCTATATTCTCCTTTTCGAATATTACCGCGACGGTATCCGCTTCTCGTGACAGTATTCAATAGCCAGCAAGCATAATACCACGTTAGAATCACGATTATTGGTTTCTTTCTTCGTTTGGAGTAATAATTCCTCGTTCGCGGTTCTCCACGCTCGTGTTCCTCTCAAGTATAGCCGTTTTTAATTTAAAAAAAAGAAAGTAAAAAGTAAAAAGAGAATCGCGCCACCATGGTATGTTCTATTGATGATATCGTAAGTCGTCGCCCTGGTAAACATACACGTTTTCCTTTTGTATTTTCTCTACATTTATTTATTGTATTTTTTTCTACTTTCCTCGTTTAATTCAATCACTGTGCCTCGCCTTATCTCTGTGGTTTCTTTTCGCTTCTGCGACCTAAAGTTTGTGATTGCTGGACAATCCAAAATCTAAAACATTTCAAATTGTTTGTCGTTATATAAAATTAAAGTCCGATACATCTCGATTAACACGTGTTGAATGCATCCCAGCGCAACAGGTGTAAATTGATAAAAGGGACAATGTTCGAAATACAGATTTCTCCACGGAATGCCTGCATCCACTGTTCTCTTTCTTTCTCTGTCTCTGTTCTCCTCTTCTCTTCCTTTACATTGTGATATTTCTCTCGGCCCGTTCTGACTTTTGTTTTAGTATTTTTTTTCTTCATTTTAATCGATCTAACAGCGATTGAGATTTGCTCGGGAATCATTGATCCAGAGATGCGAGGTCCTGGAAACGTGACTGTTTCTTACATGGCGAACTTTGCTCAGATCTTCTTTCATCCTGTGGATTCACTGATCAAACTGTAATATACATAGCATATCGAATTTAAAATAATATGCATTTGCGAATGTTACGAAGCCTGAATCTGCACGAAGGAACACGATCCGAGATCAGACCGTTCACGATCATTTCTACGTTCGGGTCAGAAAATTGTATTGAACCGTAGAAAATAACAAAGAAAAATAGTATCGAGAAAAGCATGAATCTTCTGAAAAACTTCTGGTTAACCATGCACGTCTACTTCAAGATTCTTTCAAACGAAATTAATACTTCAAAATTGGATTTTCTAAACGAAATCAACAGTTCCATTTCCTACTATTTCGTAAAATGGTAAAGAGATCGAGCTTGATCTTTCTCTGTTTACAGGCCGACGAACTCCCCCCTGAACAAATCGCTGGTACGTATTCCATCAAAATTATCGCAAACCAAATCTCTTCGATAAAATGTTCCCCTCCTATGGATTTATCGGTCAAAGAGATCGAGTATCAGAGTCGAAAATAAAATTGCCCAAATGGAAAATGCCCGTTTTACCATTGTACCGTCCGACGCACCATTCTTGGCTTTCTGGTATTTCAATCGCGTTGAAATCGTATCGTGTTTACTGGACGCCGCGCGCTAAATTTAACAGGCTCACTGTTTCTTCGTCATGTTTCCCTTGCGGCTTCCTGACCCTTACGTCGGCGAACAGGGGATTCGTTTTATCGTTCCGGAAGATCCTGCGTCTCCTATCTTTAGGTACAGTCTATCGTGTCGCGTATCAGAAGAATTACGTCTCGACAATGAGCATACACAAGCTGCAACAAAAAAGAAACTGTTCTGAAAAATTGTCTGTGTTCTTTGCATTATTCTTTGACGATGTTAGCAGAATTGACTCGGGCCAGCCAGTGCTAGTGGTCCTATCTATAGCTACGAAACAGTGAAATGAGAAGCTATCGCGTCACGATCGCAGGGCATCGGATTGATAAAAATAGAGAAATCTTTTGATGGAGGTCGAAAAGTAGGTGTTTCATTTCTCAAAGGAAAATTTCGTTACAAAGAAAAAAGAAAAACAGATGTCCGAATTGTTTATCCTTTTGCGAGACCGCTGTAAACGTATTACCGCATAAATCATCGGGAAATTTCTTCACACTGCCAGCGTACAACGATAAATAAACGTCCTAACCGGTGTGAACGATGGCGCATCAAGCCAAATAAGCTTCGAGCCAGAATCGCGAGCGAAAGGGCATTAACATCGGTTTCTAAATCCGTAACTGTATCGTAGACGGCTTCTAACACTACGAAATACCGCGCGAGACCTAATTCTCTCGGAATATTCCCCATCGATCAATTCTTAAACGAATAAATTCGAGGTTTCTCAAGTAAGGAAAGGGACGATCATAATTATTTTTTTAGTTCTCCGTAAAGCGTTCGACAGCTTCGACAGAGAGAAGAGCGGCAGCATACCCACCGACATGGTGGCCGACATCCTTAGATTGATGGGTCAGCCCTTCAACAAAAAGATTTTGGACGAGCTCATCGAAGAAGTCGACGCCGACAGTGAGTAGTTTAGGTCGAACACTGACCAGACGTTGTTACAATGAAAGGAACTCTGAAAAGTAGAGCAATTAGTGACTGAATCAGGGTGAAAGGAATATTTGTCGATCGCTCTAGAATCCGGACGCCTCGAATTCGAAGAGTTCGTCACCTTGGCCGCTAAATTCATCGTTGAAGAGGACGCGGAGGCCCTGGAAAAGGAACTTCGGGAAGCATTCAGGCTCTATGACAAAGAAGGTGATTATTACATGTCTCTTCTCTGTACTTTTCTGACTTTGCAACAAAGAACGGCGAGAAAAAATGACGGAGAACGAAACTGAAGTCCGAGAAAGATATCAACATCAGCCGGCCGAGAATAGCCGGTTCCGCGAAAATCGGACGCGTAAAGGCGGCGCGGCATTTATATTCCATGGGAATGAAAGCCGACCGAATTGGAGAAGTCTTACGCCCTCCGGGACCACGGCCAAGAAGTCGTGCGCGTTTCGTCATCGAGAGCCTCCATGAATTATGCTCGAGCCAAAGCCTTTGGGACACGTATTAATGCGTTCAACGTTTCCCTGATATTCCCCTCCGCAGTGATGGACGTTAATAAATCATGCTTTTCGATATTACCGTCGAAAAGCAATAATTGGTGTTCGTTCGTCGTTCGGTATCCAAAAATGAAATGATTATTTTCGACGTAGGAAACGGCTACATCCCGACTACGTGCTTGCGCGAGATTCTCAGGGAACTGGATGATCAATTGACGGACGAGGAACTCGATATCATGATCGAAGAAATCGACTCCGATGGATCTGGCACTGTTGACTTTGATGGTAAGATAAAATGCGAATTTCTTACACATCTGTTTCTTCCAAGGACTGGAATTCTCGTTATCGTTATTTTTACATTGATCGAATAAGCCGGACACGAGTCTCCTCGACTTTCTAATGATCCTTACGCAATTTAACCACCCACTAAACCGTTCCAATTTCGAGATATTTTGGTATCCTCCTCTTTTTATCGCACTTGCCGTGACATCGAACAACGTGCGAACAACGCGAATCAACAATAATTTGTCCTCGTGTATCATTGCCAATAAACGTAAAGCACAAACGACGGTAAATAAGCAAGAACGCGTAAACTAGAGAAATACATAGTAATTGTTTTTCTTCTGTATTGTCTAAAATAAATCCATGACTAAACTGCTCGTCATTAATAATTCGTCCGTGTTCAATGTTTCATGTGTTGCGACTAAATCTTAAGATCACTATTTATTATTTACGGATCGTCGCGTCTTTGTTAGAACGTTTCATTTCTTTCAGATTCGAATATTTATAACATTTCGTGTTGCAGAATTCATGGAGATGATGACCGGGGAATAAACGATGAACTTTGAAATGATCGATACGTGTCGGTGCACTCATCAGATCCGACTCAAAGACAATACAAGTGCGACGTTTGCATTCTACTTTCTAAAATAATTTGTCTGCGTGTCTCTTAAAAAAGAAAGTCAAATAGTTGTAATACAAACGAGAATGGTGTACGTGAGGTACAAAAGCGTGTAAGGTCAAACGTCATGTCTCGTGTTCGTTGGTTGTCAGATTGCTTAGACACGGCTTCGAGCGTCAGGGAATGGTCTCACGGATTTCTCTTCTATTTCTAACAGGTGCCTTAAACTAACTGTTTTGTACATGAGTCGTTATTATTATTATTATTATTATTATTATTATTATTATTATTATTATTGTAAAACTATAACGAGTCTCGGATTCCAATTGTATTCGCAGCACGCCTACCAAGTTTTTCATGGACAGTACTTATTTATTTGTTGTTAATAAAACACTCAGTGAAAAGACCTCGGCATTTACTTTCCTTAAATCAAAACTGACTAAATTGGAAGGAGAGAGAACAGGGAACAACGGGTCGTCTAATTTCCTTTTTATTTATATTTTAACATTTGATTCATAATCACAATGATTTCAGATTTTCTCGTAATTGACATGTCAATAGTCGCAAACGTAACGCAGTGATAATACTCTTAAAAAAATATAGTTGCTAGCAATAGACTAGAAAGTTTGATAACTATAATATAGCGGGACTAATAAACTTTTGAAATTTTATCGCGATTAACTTCTATGGTCGCGATCGCGAGTTATAACTCGGTGAACAAATTTTTAACTTGCATATACATATATATTGTATACTTTATTTACGAGAGAGACTAAATTCATCATAAATTAGGAAGTGAAGTAACGTATGACTTAGAATACTATACTTGCACAGACGTGGAGACTAGACTAGCTTACAGACAGAAAAGAGACTGTAACTTTCATAGTTGGATCAAGATTAAAACAGTTTGTTCTCACATCGGAGAACTTCTATAGAGTAATTTTACAGATAATTCAACTATATACGTTTTTAGGTTTCTCTTTAATATTATATCGGAGTGACAAGTCGAGTACGTAAAACTTTTTCCTTTGAGACTTTACGTGTGCAATTAATTACATTACTATAATTTCATAGTATATTTATTTATTTACCTACTGGAATGATTCTATGTACTTCCAATGGTCCTCATGCTTAGAACGATAAAAAAGTCATCTTACATATATATCTATATGATAATTTTTAAATGCTGATCTATGTTTTTTGTTTATTTTTCTCTTCATATTCTTATTAGAATAAATAGTATTGTTCGCTAAAAAGATTAAAACGGGAAGAAAATACAATCTGTTGCGCTCAAAGTTCAGCGAATTGTATGTACGTGTGCGTTCTTGGTAGTATATATTAAGTTGGCTGAGCAAAATATTTGCAAAATCGAAGTATTAGAAAAATAAAGAAATTCTTTTCGATCGGTAACTTGATCCTTCGTCCTCTCCTGTTTAAATCGTACGTACCTTTTTCTTACACGAGAGTTTGCAAGTCGTCATCCTCCAAATTTTTTTCTTCGGAGGGTGACAGTAAATATCACATTTTAAACAGATGCGGGAACTCGTTACTGATCTCGCGTACCGATTGCTGATCTTCTTGGCTCTCTCCAGTCTCCTCGCAGAATATTCTGTAACACGTACAGTTTTAGAGGAATGCAGAGAAGTGTAAATACGGACAATTATATAACAGTCACGATCGATATAGACCTTGTAAAGCACTTCAATAGATCTTCCGAACGATACTTGTGCTCGTTGTAACTAGAAGTACGGAGTACTCTTCGGCACAGTTCCAAATATTGTCTGCGCTGCAATGTCATTGATCACGTTAAATTCTCTACTTCTTCGCTAGCGATATAATCTTTTTCTATTATTCCTTTATACCTTATCACCGGGGAACATATCGTATAGTTGACGCAATATAATATCGATTAGAACCTTCACGTCATTAGTGTAAAAGAGACTCGCCGTGATGTCATTATTGAACAAATCGATGAACAGTTTCAATACGGAATGTGGAGGTTGCGGTTCATGATCGAATATTCGCACCGGATCCTCTGTAAGAAAACCATAGTTTCGCTGGAACATCGTCGTTCGTGCACGGTAACAATGGTTTACTTTGGATATTTTTTACCTTCTCTATTAAAAAGAAGTAAAATCTTCTCGGTGAAGTTTTTCGCCCCTGTTCTCTCTTTCAATGCGTTCAAAACAATGTTCTCAGAATTGGTAAATTGCAAGTTGTAAGATAATATTAAATTTACGAACAAGTCCGGTATTTGATCTTCCAGATCCATGTCGGGTGGGTTCTCTATCAGGTCCAAGACGAAGGCTATAAAATCCGGACCTAATTGTTCTGTAATTTATTTATAATTAGATCTATCGGACAGAGGAGAAAATAGAAGTGCAACGAACATATAGCGCATTACCTACTTTACTCACCCAAATGTGTAACTGGCATGGGTTCACCCATTGAGAAAATCATAGTAAGCAACAACGAAGAGTAATTTAATTTTGTCACGTTTCTAGGATTACTCCTCATATCTCTGTCCAAACAGATCAAGTCGTTAATCAGATAATTGTCTAAATTTATTTAACTACACTGAGTGTTACCTTGCCAACTCCATAGGTAATACACTGTTCAACATTATAGTTAAGATCACAGAATCCAGACTACACATTACTCCGAATGACTGTAACAGCAATTGCCTGATGGACCATCTTGGCTCCATTTGATAATACTGTATTAATATATTAACTCCGTTATATTGATTCTGTTGCAAAATGTATCGAGAGACATTCGCGTCTGCGTTTGTCTGAAAGAAATAATACTAGATAATGTAGATTACTTTCTAATAGACTAATTTCAATGTTTAATAGAACAAACATGTACCAATATAGAAGTAAGTTCTTTAATATAATCAACGATAACAGATTCATCCTCGTAAAGCATCCAGTTTCTCTGCTGAGAGTCTTCTTTGCAAGAAGTAAGCTCTGTGAAAATTACTTTCAGTCGGTGTGCATCGTACGTCTCTTCCATGCTCATTTGAGACACGGTGAACGGCATTTCTAATTGATGCAACAACGCGTCCAGATACGGGCTCACGTTCTGCGGCAGTAACTGCTGCAGCCCAGAAACGACTACCGTTACCGCGACCTTCGACATCTCGTAACTTAACTGAGTATTTCTCCGCACTTGATCGAGCAACTGATAAGCCGTATGAGAATTAATATCACACAAAGGACCTTTCTTTTTCATCGGTGAATTAGTAGGAGTCTGCTTAGCGCTGCCCTGAGACGGACTTTTACGAACTTCCGCCTGAATCTTTTGTGTCTCCGAGGAAGATTGACGCGGTACCGATTGTATTATCGGCTCGCTCGCGGACGTGTACTGACATTTTGGCGTGATCGGCGCTTCTTCCTTCTCGATGTTACTATGCAGGGTCGTTTGTGCCGTCACATACGATGTGTTACTCTGAGCAGTGCTAACATCCCCCTCTCGAGTATGGCAAACAGGCGTTGAATTGATTTCTTTAGTAGACGTGATACTTCCAAAGTCTGGAGGCATCGGTGCTTGTTTTTTAGGTTTCTTATTAGACTCTGCTTGTCTTTTCTTCTCTATCAATCTTAAAAGAAGATCCTGTTTGTCCAAATGCATTCCAGTCTGTTTTTTTGTTTCAAGCTTTACATTTCCTATGCAGTCCTCTAGGAATTTAATCAATACCTGAGCAGATACCTATAAAATAAAGAAGTATGTCATCTTCATCTTGTATTATTATCTTCTATGAATATACCTTGACAGTGGTGACATAATTCGAGGGGATATACCCTGTATGGCCTTCCCTGTTAACAACTTGCCACCAATTTCTCTCCTTGGTATTGGTCTGATATAAAATAAAATAATCGCCTTCCTGAAAGCTGAGAGTTTTTGCAAACGTGGCCTTGAAATCATACAAAGCTTTAAGCACTTCATAGTTCTCTGTGCACGTAAAGGAACAATGTTAAACAGATGGTATCAGAGAATTGACAGACGCGTTCACGGAACGATGATGATTACACGACGAATATCATCATCGTCAGAGAAGATTGATCCGAAGCAACTCACCTAACCTAATGGAATTGTCATCCATGATCGCTTATCGAAATGGAAAGTGATATTTGTTCTCGTGTAGACAACGCCCAGGTGAAAAGTAAACGGGCGTAGAACGGGTCTACCACCGCTCACCAATTTCACTTTCATTCGTGTTCGACATATTTCTTTTAATACGATGCCTTTTTTTATCGGTCAACTATATATGGGCGAATTCGAGAGGGATATTGCATTTGTATGCGACAGTATACATATGCTCTGAACCAGTAGAAACGAAGTAGTATATAATATAATATATAAATGCTCCAACTCCAACTCTTAGAACTCATGCAGTTCTCGCAACTTGAAACAGTTAGGACATGGACGAGTTGACTGATATACTAATTACATATCATACGATAATAAAGAAATAATCTTTTCAAATTGCGAGATCTAAGAACTGAAATATGAAATTTGAGAATCTGCTAAGAAATTTAAATTTTTGCCGAAATCGCACCAGGTTTAAATCACTAGTTCATCTATATAGTTACTGCCCTAGCGATAACTGAAAAACAGAAGAAACCGGAACCTGCTTGTTCATCGAGCTGAATTCATCAAAGCAACCAACATTACATACCATAGTCAAGTATATAAATCGTGATAACCTTTTTCTTTCAGGGACATCCTGTTAGATTTGACCATCTGCTCTCTGGAAGAATTTCTAGACTGTACGGTTCGTCATTCTTCTATCCGTCATATTTAAAATATATATGTATAAAAGTATTTTTATTTCGTTAAACCGATCACTATATAAACATTCCTTGCTTCTGCAAAATGAATAACATATATTTTCCTTTTCGTGAGTCTAGTGAGTGTGAAGCATTTGAACACATATATACATTCTTATTTCTCGTTTTACAAGTAAAAAGTTATACCGAACTGATTTTGTAGTTCGTACTGTGCTTTATGAGTGTGAAAGTAAAGTCTTCTTCTGATAAGTAATCAAAATTGTCGAGAAAGTGGCATTCGGTCATACATATCAGTTAAGAGATTATATTTATAGAGAATAAATATGTCGAAATCAAAACGTCAATTGTGTTACAGATCGCACAGGACGTTGTTGAAGATAAATATTGTTTATCCTGTCGAAGCCGGGATTTGGTGAAGCAGAAAAAGTAAATAAGATAACTACAATTGTAAGGAGATTTATAACATTCTGCGAACGCAGAGTGTACTGAGAAAGATTGACAATCCCAAAAGAAATTTTATTGAGAAGGATGTCTGGCACCAATGAAAGTACAAATAGTAACACCTGCGTTGTGTGCTACAAAAATGTCGATATTTATAGCATTGGCATGTGTGAACATCCTGTGTGCTACGAGTGTAGCACTCGGATGAGGGTACTCTGTTGTCAAAATGAGTGTCCTATCTGCCGTCAAGATTTGCCGAAAGTTGTATTCACGAAGGAGATAAAACCCTTTCGACAGCTACACAAAGGCAACTTGTTCGACACACGATATAATATCTATTTCGATACGCCCGATATTCAAAGTAAATTTTACGATTTATTGGCTAATAATTGCAATATATGTAAAGAAAAACCTGTGTTCAACAATTTCAATAGTTTGAAGGATCATATGAGACATCGACATGAGCTACACTACTGTGACCTTTGTGTAGAGAATTTAAAGGTATGCTAAGCATCGTTTATCATTTCATTCTTAATTAAGGTGTATCAAAATTAAAAAGTTAACATTTTAACAGATATTTTCCCATGAAAGACGTTGCTATACAAGGGCTGACCTCGCTCAGCATAGAAGGAAAGGAGACGTTGATGACAAGAGTCACAAAGGGCACCCGCTGTGTGAATTTTGTGATCAGCGTTATATGGATAACGACGAATTGTTTCGACATTTAAGAAGAGACCATTTGTATTGCCACTTCTGCGATGCGGACGGTTTGCATCAGTACTACAGCTCTTATGATTATCTCAGAGATCATTTCCGGCAGGAGCATTTCTTATGCGAGGAAGGGGTGTGCGCAGAGGAAAAATTTACGAGTGTCTTTAGGACTGATATCGATCTTAAAGCACACAAAGCAAGTGTTCATAGTAAACAGTTGAGTAAGGCTGCTGCGAAGCAAGCAAGAACATTAGAACTCGAATTCACGTTGGCTCCACGGGGAGAGAATCGAATGAATAGAAGAGGAATGGTGGGTGCGTCGACTTCTAGAAGTTCAAGGGATTACGGTGGAAGAGATTTCAACGTCCGGGAATATCAGCAAACAGTCACGTCTAATACGTCCAACGTGTACGTCTCAAACAACGAACAACCTACATTCGTACGTCAGCCATCCGTGGACGTACAGAGCACGGAAGAATTTCCAACGCTGGGAAATACCGCGCCTATCGTACCTACCTTGAGCCAAAACAAAGGTAGAGGTAACGTAACGATTCGTAGCACGATAAGGCCGCAACCTCTTGCTGTTACGGACGAAAATTTTCCCGCTCTGGGACCGGAATCAGGAAATACGAGTATCTCGAAAACAGTCAACTTCAGCGTATCCAGCAGTAACGCTTCGGGTTCGAACGCACAATCACAGAAAAGTACAACTTCTAACGTGTCCATACAAGTAAATCATGAGCCAAATGGGACTGTCACTACAAAAGTTTCAGGTCCCAATATCAGAATACGTCCTGCTCAACTCTCGATGGAATCATTTCCTGCGTTGGGCTCCGCGGAGCCATCGACCAGTAATAACACGAACTCGGCCCATTGGAAAGAAGTTCTGCAATGGACTTGCACGAAATCAGCGACCGCGCCGGCACCGAAACCTAAGAAAGTGGCTTCGCCCCCATTAGTACCGTCTCCTCCGCCTATACAATCTGGGGAAGATTTTCCTACGTTGTCAAAGTCGTCGAAATCGAAGAAGCAATCAACGATCACGGTAGTTCCATCCTGGGGTCAATCGCAATCGCAAAGTTCAAACAACAGTAATAATGCGAAGACGACTACGGATATGACGAAAGGTAAAACGAAAAAGAAAAAGGTGAAACAGAACAATAGTCATAACAATGCTGGGAGCGAGAGTAGTAGTTCAAAAGCAAATCTAAGTACCGTCGTAGTGAAGAAAGAATCCGAAACACCTAAAAGTCCGTCTAGCAGGAATAACGTGAATGCTGTACAGTCGAGTTCTAATACCGCGCGGCAGACGGATAATATCGGTAACATCGAAGACACGTCGAAGAACATGAACGTTCAATCTCCGAAGGAAACGGAGCAGCAGAGTAACAAAAAGGAGAAGAAGAAACATAAAAACGTGGATAATGAAGCGACTGTAAATACGTATCATATCGACAATGCTTCGAACGGGGTGCAGAGAAAGCGTACCGAATTAAAGATAGATAGTTTAAATTCTAATAGGAATGTTCGGCAACTAGAAGAATTCCCAGCTTTAAGCGGCAGCAGTTCCAAACCGCCGGGTTTTACAAATCCACCGCCGGGATTTGGAACGACGACCCCTCCGCCTCCGGGTTTTTGTATAAAATACGATAATATGGATAAACTGAATAACAGCAACGGATTGACTTTCACGAATAGTTCCGGGGAAAGTTACTCCATCTTGCCGAATAATAGTAAGCATAGCGACGCGTACAATTATGTCCCTCCATCCGAATTTCAGAAACGAAACAAATCTCTTGTGGCTAAAGTTAACGAGGTTTTAATACAGCAGGATCAGATCGACGAGTTTCGATATATAAGCGGACTTTTCCGTCAAGGAACGTGTAACGCTCAGGAGTATTACATGCATTGCCGTGTAGTCATGGGCGCTAGCGCTTTCGAGAACGTGTTTCCAGAGCTTCTGGTTCTCTTGCCCGATATCGAGAAGCAACAAGAGCTGTTTAAAGTTCACAAAAAGGAGAGCGGCAATAAGATAAAGGGTTTAGAAATTTGCGCGACGTGCGGCCAGGTTCTTAAACACGGATCCGATTTCCGAGCACACATGACTAGTCATACGTTAGAGAATCATTTCCCGGCGTTGGGTAAAATCAGTGCCCCGTCGCAGAAAAATTCTTGGGTACGTAAATGAGTACAGTTTTGTGTTTATGATTTAACTTACAAATTCTGCCAAGATTCTGTAATCTGTGAATAAAAGAACTGACAAACAAATTATTTTTGTGAACGGTATCAGTGTAATATAATCGCGTTTAATTTGGAACTACTGTTTAAAAAAAGGAAAGAGTACGTGTTATATGTTTCAACGGTCGATTTCTAGTATTAAAACGGTTACTTTGAACAAATTAATTGCCATGTTGTAGTACTTGGTCTTTACATTTGTTCAATGACCTGTGTGATTGCTGCCTAAAACGAAGAAAATTTGTTATTGAATGGTTGTACTAATAATTTTACGAGATGCATACAGCAAACAAAGTCAATAATAAGTCTCTGTATAATAACAAATTTTATGTAAGTTAATTTAAACCACTTAACTCGCGTGACATATTATGAATAAGATATTCGTACGTACACCATGTACTAAACAGAATGTTTTAATCATGTCCTATTATGTCGATATGTTAAAACTACTACTGTATATATATTACTCGTAAGTAGGAAACATATTTCTGTAATTTATTCATTGTCTTTTATTCAGTAGAGATGGAATAAAATTGTACGATGCATAAAAATTAACACTGCATATTAAAAAATTATTTGATACGTTATACATATACAGTGCATGTATTGATAATGTACTGTTTTGTACTATAATAAAGTTATTACATTGAGTTACACGATAAGACTATGAGACATACTTTTTCTTCTTGTGTCTTCCTATCTCGTAGTATCAAAACACGATAGAAATGGTCTACGACAAATGTAAATTTGCAATTATACTTTCATTTCAATTTGTGGTCGTGTGGTATAGTCTGAAGTACAAAATGTTTCTGCCGTATAAGGAAAGATTGTGAACAAGATAAAAGGCAAAGTTCCAAATGCTTATTCTTATAACTTGCTGTTAGCGTTACTCACACTATAATTTATTATTTTTTCAAAAACAGGATAATAAAAACTGGTATTTAATATTTTTATATATATATATATATATATATATGTATAATTCATTCTTTCAGTTTACTGCACAGACGCAGAGCAAAGTGCAACGTGTAAAAATTCACATGTAATGTCCTTCATTTCGTAGTAAAACTCCTTAGCTATGTTTTAAACGATTGACAACATTGTAATCTTCATTTTCCCTTAATGAAAACAATACATACATCGATTGAAGTTAATATACAAATATTCCATATTTATTTCGAATTGAAGATACATTTTTAAGTAAACTCGTAACTCTATTAGTTAGTATAAGCATACAAATAACATACTGTTCTCCTACTCTCCTCGCCTTCTAAAAGAAAATTTCATTTTGGAAATGAAGTCTGTTTACGTGTTAGATGTTTGTCAGTCAAGTCCTGTACGTTCTATTATTCCCAATAATTGCTCTCTTAAAAATTATAATCACAGTGATATGAAATCATATATGTGGTGCGTAATTTGACAAAAATAAAGATTGCGACCTGTCTTCTACGTCCATGCTCAATGAATAAATTGTTCATGAAACTTTTAATGAATAACGAACGTTGTTTTATCACTTTTTAGCTAGTTCATTACTCAACCAATCAAGCCCTTCGTAAAGTCCATGTCCTTGAGTAGCACAAGTACTTTGAATAAACCAATGACGTCCTCTTAACGAATTCAGTCCCAGCTTATCTGTGAGCTCCGCTGCAGACATTGCATTAGGTAAATCTTGTTTGTTGGCAAAAACTAACAGTACCGCATCCCTTAGTTCGTCCTCCTTCAACATGTTCGCTAATTCACGTTCTGCTTCTCCGATACGTTCTCGATCGTTACTGTCGACGACGTAAATAAGGCCTTGAGTATTTTGGAAATAGTGTCTCCAGAGTGGCCTGATCTTATCCTGGCCACCAACGTCCCATACCGTAAAACATATATTCCTGTACTCGACGGTTTCAACGTTAAAGCCGATTGTAGGTATTGTTGTGACAATCTCGCCCAGCTTCAATTTGTACAATATGGTTGTTTTTCCAGCGGCATCCAAGCCGACCATCAATATTCTCATTTGCTTTTTGCCAAAGAGCCGGGTGAGCAAACTGCTGATCGTTAGGCCCATCGTCGTCTATGATGACACTGTACTTCCCCGATGTACTTAAACTAGTGCGATGCTCTTGCACTCGTACTCAGCGCACAGATATTTGTCTTACCAGTAAATATTATACTTATTTGGATATGCGACGACGTTTATTGTGTCGTTAACACACCTTTAACAATAATACCAAATGTCACCTTAGGGCGACTTGTTATGTACTTGTTATTCCGGAAATAGTTGGCAAAATTGGCCACGCACTCGAATTCTTGCGTTAAACAATAGACTGAATATTCGTTTATATCGTTATAAGACAGTTTCTTTTTGTGATTGTGATACCCTTACGAGCTAGATGTATTATTTCGTCACTCGATTTATGAATCACGGAGCAACTGGGGATAACTCAGTAGAAAGCGACGCGTGTCGGTGCCACATACTCCTCCATTAACCGTGATAATCAGCCGCCTAGTTCAAATTGAACATTTCCTTTTGGAAAATATTTCTCGAAGTGACTTCGTCACAAAATTTAAGAGTTTATCGATTTGTTTTCTCGTGTTAGTCTATATGAGCGTCGTGGTATTATAATGCGTCCTCTGTTCCTCCGACACAATTTCTAATTGATGCAGCAGTTCAGGTAAAAGAAGATATAGTAATTTATAGATGACAAATATACGATAAAAGTATATCTGGAAGATGGGATTTCAAAGATAATTTCAGGGTAATAATCATAATGAGACTTTTTTAGAAGTTTTATTGACAAAGTAGCACTTTTATTCATATGAAAAAGTAATACATTAGGGCCTGTGCTCGACTTCTTGTATTCTTTCTTTTTATAATTAATCTTGAAGCGTATATAACGAGAGAACTAGAAAAGGCCATTTCTTTTCACTTGGACATCTTACGCGTTCTATGTCGTTTAACAATATAGAACGAAATTACAAACCGCGAGAACATCGACGGCGTTGATAACCTGTCATTGTTCACTACAGGGTGGTTTACAAATTTGCATCTATATAATAACTTTCACATGATATTCTCTTCTCTATTAATTCCAGGAATTAAAGTAATGTACAATTGATAATCTTTTTCTTTTCTTTCACATGATATAGTAAATACCCCCTAAAATATATTTGTAAATCTTTGTAAACGTGAGCCGTTGATGAAGTTGTGTGCCCTTAATATTTTTCTTTAAACGCTAAGCACCCAAATGTTACTTGATGTATTTCAAAGTTTGGCCAAATGCAGACTGAAGCTTCGCCCGAGTCTAGTGCTACCCGAAAGACTATATGCAACCTTACAGAGATTATAACTGAAAATCTTGTCATTATTTCGATTTGATTTCACGTTAAATGAGTTTTCTCTGGAGAAGACCGTCGTGAACATTTTAGAAGATAAAATGCCCTTGGTTTACCACAGGTAAAAATCAAAATAGTTGGGGAACATTTACTTCCTAAAGCTAAAAGTTTGGATTAAACTTCAATAATAATAATAACGTACAAGTATAAATTGTTATTGTTACATCTCTTCTCGTCAATTAATGAAATGAAAGATGTATAATCGAAATTCTGATACAAACATAGGATGTTTGAAATAATTGTCAACTCTCTGCAATGATCGTGCACACGTGAGTGCTTTGAATTCGGTACGATTGTGTTCGACCCATTTAAATGCGTGATTCTCGTGTTGCGTGTGGTACATTCTAAATACATAAAAGTAAATAAAAATTGTATTGCGTTTTCGGATCTTCACCACAGCTCTCCGTCTTTCTCTTTAGCCGGCACTTCTATTACTCGTGGCTTGTCGATTATTCTCGCCGTGCGATTTCCTTTCTCCACGATACCGATGATCCACGCCTGGTATCCTTCCTGCTTTTCAATGTCTTTACAATACGCGGCGGCCTGCGAATTATTTTTGTAAGAAACTGATAAAATTATTTTATTGGTGTAAGAGAGTCGACAGCACCAAGATGCTAAAACAGCAAATTGGCATGGAAATCTCTGCTTTACTCTTCCTGCTGATTCTTTAGAGTATACCACGAAAATCATAATACTCTACTGTATTCACAGGATCTTATCTCGTTTAAATAAACAACGGATAGCAAACAAACCTGTTCTCTGGGTAAACAAATGAGCAACCCGCCGCTGGTTTCGGCCGAATGGCCTTGCAGCAGTTGGAACATGTTTCCGCATGCCTTCGCCACAGCTGCCATTTTAGCGATAACAGGTAGATTGTGAATAACAAAGGAGACCTCGTTCTTCTGATGTTTGGCCAGGTTCTGCGCGTGCCCCAAAAGCCCGAAACCGGTCACGTCCGTCGCTCCGTGTGCATTGTACTTATGCATTAATCTCGCCGCTATAAGAAGCGATTATTAGTAGTTGTCGGTTATTCCGATTTCTTCGGCACGCACCTATTCTGTTAAGCCTAGCCATACTGTCCATCGCTCTCTGATAAGCTTTCCTCACGTCGTCTTCGCTAACTACAAGTTTGATTCTGTTCCAGCGGTCTGGTTGATCCAACCACTGATGAGCATTTACAGCAACCTGAGTTCCAAGCGGTTTCGTCAGCACAAGAACATCACCGACGACTGCATTGTCCGGACTAAATGTAAACCAATGTTGTTAAACCATATTTCGATGCATGATATAATTTTCCATTTGGAAACACATACACGATGTATTCGTTTGGCTGACAAACAGTGGAAGCAACTCCACCTATTGTACACCATGGATTAACGACCGTCTGACCTCCCGTTACTGTCGTCCCCGCTTCCAACGCAGAATCTTTGAATCCCCTCATGATCAAAGGCACGACAACGTCCCTCTCTTTCTCAGTCATTTTCGTGCTGACCCCCAGCAACATCAGCATATTGTCGCACTCGGTGACACCCATCGCGTACAGATCACTGATAACATTCGCGCACGCGATTTTACCTGGAACAGTACTCCAATGGCAGTGGTTAAACAAAATGCTATAAATATAATTGTATCCTTAAAGAAGATACAACTTTCGGTAATCATCGATACCACTTCACCGATCTCGGTGATTTTTTAATAAGCTTATTAAGCTGATATGTTATCAGTGATGAATGAAGTACACATTTCGAATGATATTCGTTCGTTTGAAATTTTGCAAATATTTCAAAAACGGTGGTATAGGAAAAATAAAACAATTACTGAGATATCGACAATTGCCCAATTTCCATTTCTTTCATCGACTCAAATTGCTCATATCGTTTAAACACGAATTCGTGTGTTTATCTTACCCATCATGTAAGGATCGTCGACTAGTGGGTAGAAAAAATCTGTTGTCTGCACCAGACTGAGTCCTCCATGCCTCAGCGGAGTCACGGAGGAATCCATGCCAATGCCTGAAACAAGCGAAAAGATAATTATTAGTAAATCCTCGTTCTTACGTATTTGTTGATACCGGTGTCACACGTGTATCGTTAGTTTGGCAGAGGTTGAGAACACTCGTATTTCCGGTGGCGTGGGAGAAATCGGGCGGGAGACGATAATATGGCTGCAAATATGGCAGGGTTGTACATACGAAATTCGCGCCCTGGGTACTGTCACGAATTCGTTCCCTCATGCATGACGCACAACTTTGAACAACAGGTAGCAATTACACCCTGTTGATACCACGCGTATCGATAGAATGAAAATCTTTTAATGAAAAATCATTTTAACCGATGTCTGGGATACGAAGAGATCGTTCGCATAATTCGGAATTCGATATTAAATAATCTGTTTCGCGATCGAAAACAGTTCTTGAAAATGTCGTAGAGGTGTTTGAATGATAAAAAATGTTTCACCTTCGAAGATCAACATGACCGGCAAGAATCACGTACAGACGGGAAAAAAAATAGAGAAAATAAAGAGGCAGCATAAAACATGTCGGCAAGTCGGTCGTAGTCGTAGGGGCCGCCCGATAAAGCCGATCATTTACTCACCGATGCGTGGAATGGCCATGTGCATAAAATGGGCATGCTCATGATCTTGTGCGCTAGCATCGTCGGCCTGTAGTCCCTCGAGGAGTTTCCCAAGAACCTCCTGAGGGACTTTACACCCTCATCCTTTCAGGTCGGCGAACCGCGTAAGGCGGAAGTTAGCGTCAAGATCATGTGCCACTGGGTCGAACGGCCTACGCAAAGCCAGGGCGTTTGGATTTCCACCGAGCTCTAACTGGGCAACGGACAGGGCGTCCTGAGCAACTGGGGTTCCCTGTAGCTCCGCCATCTTGCTAAAAAACTAAACTACCGAAGACGAACCGGGTACGTAACGAGTCTCGCGGCCCTGTGCCAAGCCACAAAAGCGACAACGGCTCTCCTCCGACGGCTTCCCGTTTCCCAACTTTTGCGCGTTATCTACAAAGTAGGTTCTCACTGCACGCCCGGCGCGCTCTCTGTGCAGGAACAGTTTCGAAAACCACGTACGCCGCCGCCGACAGACAGCCACTGAGGCCTCGTAACCCTTACTACCGGTAACACGATTCACTGCGAACGGGAATTACACTTTGCACCGGCGTCGACTATCCGGGATCGTACGTGCCAACAAAATGGACGCGCCTCCAGCTTCCACGGGATCGGAAGAATGCGCAAGGCCACCAAGAGTCCCCCCAGTGTCCCTGCCGTGGCACTGATCCACGCTCATTGGCCTTTTCGAACCTGAGTTTGCGCGTTACACTTCCCGACACCAGGTACGTAAACGTTACAACGTTTCGCCCTTCGTCGCGTGTTCGTGGATCTCATTCCGCAAAGAATTAACGCGACAACTGTACCTTTGTGACGTGTACACGTTTTTCTCTGGATAACTTCGAGCAACATGCTGTTCTTTTTCCTTTTTCCTTCGTCTACTTCTTGACCATTAGAAGAAATAATCAAGAAACGGTCTAGACACACGTGGCCGATTTAATGAAATTGTAATTGGTAAATGCGTAGGTAAAATTCAATTTTCATACGTCTACATAATAGAGATAAGATTTATTTATTTATTGATTAGCAGTTGGGTATTTTCCTATTAAAACGAATCTACTTATTCGTGATATCGTAATACGTGATCGGTGGATTATGGAGCGTTGCGAATATCATTTTCTTATAATGATAATAACGAAAACGTCGATGTACGCCAATGAAAGTACAATCTGATTTAAAATTCTTACATGTCTACTTGATAGAACGATGGGACCTCAGAAATTAGATATTCTTTCTGTTTTTTAACTGACGTTCTGCGTATCCGTAATTATCGTTAAACGCGCTTCAATCATACAATTTTCGATTATTCCTAGAGGCATTTCCTCTGCGAAAGAGTTGTGCATTATGTTCAACACCTCAATGTGAATTCCGAAGTTGGAACTTCCTCAAATAATAAAATGTAATATTAGTTCATACCTTAGATCTCTTTGAAGATAGCGAGGAAAACGAATTGAGGTAGGTAGTGTTAATTTCTTTTAAACAATATGTTTATTGTTTAATGTCCATATACAATATGAATTGCATTAAATATAATTAGCTTCACAGAAGTATAAAATTTGTACTTAGAACTAAAGCTAAAACTTATAATTAATGTTACTTACAATTAATGGTTAAGGGAGTTTCTTGGCGCTTTGAAATTCGTTACCCATACGACACTCGTCTTTGCTTTTCCCGAATTTTATTGAGGATTCGAATAGGAATCAGGATACAACGTAGAGATTTAAGAACCTGTATATTTAGCGCAACGAAGGCATGAATTTATAGTTATGGCGATGAAAGGAGAGCATGGACGGATTTTAGATAAAGAAAATTGATACGAAAAAGTGAAGTACAATTTATTAATAATATATACGCAACCATTCTTAACGTTCGGTGCACCATTCTGAAAATAATCGAAAGAAATTGGTTACAGCCATACTGGAAGCGACGTGTCGCTTCTTATTTTCCGCTCTATATATATAAATACCTTGTAATTAAAATATAGATATATACATATGGATTTATGTACTTATNATATATATGTGTGTGTGTGTATGTGTATTAAAATATTTGTACAACCTGGACACATGCCTCTACAAAATAATCTGTTTCTAATCGCTAAATTCTCTTTTTAAAATCGGTCGTTAATCCTTTGTGGTCCGCCGCTGTTTACATTTTCTAAAATAAATGCTACTTTAAGAATGCAAATGATCTTCTCCAATAATACACACAAAGATAAACCCGTTGCCAGAACGATTATAAAATAAAAAATTTAACAAAGTCAAGTATTGATGCCAAGGAATATTTTAATACAAATTATACGGTAACTGCAAGCAATGGGCGAAGTATTCGATTAACAGTATCGAATGAGAAACAGAGAAATTGAGTTATCACAGAAAGAAGAATACAAACGGCGAAGTCACAAAGTAAAATGAAATCCTCTTGCCCACTGTCGTGTTTGAGAATTATTGACTCCTGAGAAAATATTCTTTTTTTATTTTCCGGAGATTAATTCACGGCCGAGAAAACGAGGGAAACTTTCGCCCTTTAGATAATATAAAAGTGCGATAGGACACGGAAATTAAGGACGGAGCAGCACGTGTATTTCATTGATGCGAACGCAACAGACTAGAAAAGTTCAAGTGAAAGTTACCCCTCGTCTTCATTTACATTCCGACTGGAAAGGCTTGTTGCGAACAATTTTCGAGCTTTCTTTTCTTTTAGAATCTAGCAAGGTTTCTCTTACGCTGTCTGCAAGCTGATCAGACTAAGAAAGAAACATTAGAATTACAAAAAAAGCTGATCTGCAGTTAAATACATAAATAGTTCGAAAAACTTTTCGAGTAAATGCTGTACGATTCTTCTCTGAAGTTTTATAAGCCTAAGCTCTAACAGTTACGAACTTGTTTCTCGAAAATACATTTGTCGTTTCTGTCATAATCAATGAACCATGTTGGTCATCGTGAAGAAAATATCGCTACGTCGATACAACCTCATCACAATTATTTTTCTTCCGACTTTTCAATTCTTATTAAATACTAATTCTAATCACTTTGGGTCGCCCTTCTCAGATTAAAAATATAGACGTACAATTTTTAAGGACGATTTTTCGTTCTGCGCACTTCGTACCGAACGCTACCGAATGAAAACTTAATCATTCTAATCGTAATGTCCTCGGATATATCCTACAAGGAAGAATCCATTCATATACCGAACCTACAGCAATCACCATGCTCTTCGCTTAACTTTAAATACTAAAACACGCGAAGTACATCGGTATCGGAAAAACCCGATAATTGTTATCATAAAAAATTCGTTAAGTACATTTTGTCGGCCGAGCCGCGGGTGGACATGTCCACTATGGAATGTCAGATGATTAAACGCTATGATCCAAGAAAAGGAAAGAAAATAGGTCGATCGTAATATAAGATCCTGCCTCCTTTGAGGTCTTCATGGACATTGACATAGTTCTTGCTAATCTTGGATCTCGATTTCAGAAGATACAAGACAGATAAGGAAACAGTCGCGATTTAAGTAGATTAGTCTCGTTCGTAATCAAACATTTGAGCGCAAATATCTTGTAAATTACATTATGGAGCTTTAGAAGTATCTAAATCTTATTAACAATATCGATTTAAAAAAAATTAATTTTCGTTTAAATAATATTCTAATTGAGACGCGATCCTCAAGCTATCGTAGTGAATCGCCTGAGATCTTAGTTCGAATCGTATCATGGTTCTGCGTCTGACGATGCAGCGGTAACGATTTTAATTAGGGCAAGTCGAAGGAACTATGCGGTTTAAACTGCATCGCGATCCTTGGGGCACGCGCGACCGTTTTCTTTTTACTTCAAGTAGAATGTCGATCGACCGTATATACTTGCCACTAACACAGACAGGTACGCTCGTGGACTGGTTCCTGGGCTCGTCTCGTGAATACATTCACTAGTTGGCAGTGTACTCTGTTAACAAATTGTGTATCGATTACGTATATCCGATGAAATACGTGTAATTCCACAGAAATCTTCTCTAAGTTCTTCGAGCATTTTTCTGTGTACATTTACGATTATTCTCTTACGCAAAGTGGTATGTGTAGAACAAGCGCGAATCGAAAGATAAAACGTTGCATAAATACTCGGACAGAGTATTTACCTGATTTTCACGTTGGAGCTATCGATCACCTCGCCGTCGCAGTTCCACACGCTGAGGCTCGAGTTCAGATACCGGTTGTTAATCTCGTTGTTCGATTGCATGTGCAAGGTAGGCAATGCCCGGAACGTGAACTCCCTCGCTCTGTACACCTCGACGAACGGCAGATCGTACTATGCAATGAAAACAGTCGAGATCAATCAATGAGAAAGCGTTTCGCTTTTCTTCTTTTATGAAATTGCACAGTCGTTCAACGGAGAGCACTTTGTATCAGAGTCGGATCACAGGGACAAAGGATATTCATCTGTTTTCTTTCCATCGTTCATTTTGAAATTTATCGGAAGAGTCGTATCGCTCACCAATGTTTTCTGTTTGCTGGCCAACCTCAGCAACATTCTGATGTTGTTGAAGAGCGATGTATGCCGAACTAGAATCACGTCTACGCAACCGTCCCCCACGTGACAGTGCGGACTGAATCCCATCGGACTCCTCGAGCAACTGCAGGCGAGATTCGCACTGTTCACCATGAAGAACTTCCCTCTGACGGTCATCCATCCTGACGCACGTTTTAAAGCGTTTAAACACATGTCGAGCGACAATGAAATTCAATTCTCAAATGAATTCATCAACTAACTGGATATTTCTTTGTCGGGAATGCTGTTGTGCATGTGCTGCAAGCACCTGCTGCAATTTTTCGTGCACCTCGTGCTGGTCGCTGGGTGGCAAGGGTCCGAGAGTAGATGTATCTCTCCTTCGTACCCTTTGTTCGCGATTATCTTCTTGAAACCTGTGCGGGAATCATATACAGCGATAAATCTGACCTTATTCTAGACTCGCAGACAAGATTCACACCGGTAGAAGAAACAAATTTCCTCCTCACCCGAATAATCGTATCTCTGAGGTCCCATCCATCGAAACTTTTCGCTGTCCCTTATCACGTCGCCCAGATAACCATAACTCAGCATGCTGGCGTACAGCCTTAGCAACGTTTGGTCGCTGTGAACGGCTGAAATATCGAGGCCGGTGCTGTCGCCGAATATGATATGTATCGCCGCGGTTTGCACGTCCGTCGTTCCGTGGAGGCTGTACGCCACCGTGTCCGTGCTTCCGCTGGGAATTACTCCGATCGGAAGCCGAGGACTCGGCAGAATTACGTTCGGATCGTTAGGATCGATCTGTCTGTCTCTCGAGGTCCTCAATACCAGGCCGTTTATCACCTCGGCGAGGGTACCATCTCCGCCGATACACACCACCGCCTAGAAAGAGGAAATTGAGAAGCGTGCCGTAAAGGTAGTCGATGGGCCATTTTTTAATTTTTAACGAAACCTACATGGAAGTCGCTCAGATCCGCGCTCAGAAGTATATCACGAGCGTGACCAATTCTTTCCGTGATCAACATCTTCGTCTCGATGCCAGCGATGGTCATCAAGGGCTGAACGTCTTTCTCCCAGATCTTCAATCCTTTCTTCTTTCCCCCGAAGGGATTAACGAACAATAGAACCTTCCTGGGGCGATGAGAGAGTCCTGAGGATCAAACGTTTGCAACCCTTGAATAGTCAGAACACGATTGCTTATTATACGTGAATTATCATGACTGTAACTATAGTGGGTCTTATCATTCTTTGTATCCTCATAGTCAGGCCATTATTTGGACTTGATTGGGTGAAGGATAGTTTTGCGAGCAGGTAACGTGGCGAGGCAGGAAGGAAGTCAGATCAATACTGGTTTGTCCTAACGCGGAGTAACCGAGAAAGGGATCGTATTACACGTGCGACAAAGAAACCACCCCCGTTGTTTTTCTGCTCGAAGGGGAGAACGCGATCTGACGCTAGTATCGGTTATGATTGATTACCACGCTCGATGGATTCGCTGGCGCAAGCGTTAGGAAGATCATACGACTGACCGATGGCCGATGTGTATCGATGATTGCTTTCTTACTAATCAAAACGATTATGGAATTTGATATTAATTTGTCCTCGGTTTCTCGAGTTTTTTTTTACGCTAGGATTGGCCAGGAACGTGTTCGTATTTTAATTACGCAGCCTTGATCCGTAACCGACGACCCAGTTCCAACGTGTACGAAGTTTAATCCTTTCTACTAGTTCGCGAGCAAACGCAATAGCGTTTGTAATATCCAGTCACGTAGGAACGGAAACAACGATTATAGCTGAACACTGTTAGAAACGATAATTGTGGGACGTTGTAAAATATTGTTATTTTAATGAGAAAAATAACAGATTAGTCATTTTGTAGAAAACGAGATTGAGATCAATCTGATTAATTAGATATTCGATCAACTAGGCAGTTCGTTTATTCTCGAGAACGGAGACGCGAATGATCAATATCCATTCAATTATTAAACCGGTGGCTATTCCCTAGACGCGAATAGAAAGGAAACGGATAGTGTGAGCCGCGCCAAGTTCTGCGATTCGACTTTCACCTTTGCCTCGCATTTTCACGATACAGAAATGGTCCTATGTAATTTCCTTCTAACTCAACTCGCTAAGTATTTGACGATAGACGTAGTAATTAATCGATTAGTCCTGAAGTATTCGAGATAGAAGAATTTGTATACGACCTTTTTTACAGGTAATAGCAGTGCCTACAATTTCTGTATAAAATTTTTTTCGCTAACGTCAATAATTAATTAATAAATAAAATTATTTATGGTACAAACTTTTTTTCGTCCAAGCGAAAAATGTTTCAAACGAAAGTTGTGAGTAGCGATCAATTTACGATAGTCGAAACTATCTTACGTTTAAAGACGAGTGAAACTGAGCTGTCAGCAAAGTCGGGAAACAGTCCGGGATTACTACTTTTATTCCATTCACAAGAGATAACGGGGAGGCCACTTCAGATTGCGCGCACTTCAACGGTACATGATTTCGAGTGTGTTACTTCCAGGATATTTAGAGCTGTGCCAATAAAGCTAGATCCGTCCAGAGGAACTTCCTTCTCAAATTCAGTTCTAAAATTTACTTCGATAAAAAACGCTGTAACATGTTATCAGGCGTATGTACGAATTCACAGGAATGCAACGTCTCTGCATTACATTTTGCACCGGAATTAAATTGCGAAATTAAAGTGCAACTGGTATTTCTTGATTACGGAGAGATCGTTGGGAAGGGTATAAAGGAAGACGGAACTCACCCATGAGGTAATTCCTGATAGTTTTTACCCAGGACGCGACCTGCCTAGGATCTGTATGGCTCATCGTCACGCTGTGATGACTCCATTTATTCTTTGGACCGCGTACGGCGTAATGTAGAATGAAATTCGTCGGGCAGACAGTCGGCGACGTCGGCGACGTAGCCGGCTGTTTTTCCTTGACGCTGACCCCGGGTATCCAATCGTCCCCGTAACGAACCGCAAGCACGTCCGACATGGGCAGCGTCCATCTCGCTGAAACACCGAATCGCCGATAAATCTTTATTTATTTATGGAATCAGAAAATATTTCTTATGCCTCAATCGTTCGTTCTTAATTTCGTGATCTATTTATGGCAGAAGCCTCAAAGTCATACCAGAAATAGAAGTCACGTCTCGCGGCTATGTATGTACTTGCCGGACAATTGAATAATAGATCTGGAGGAAAACAAGTATGGAACGGGTGCACGCGCGTTAGGAGAGACAAAAGGGAGGCTCGGTTTACCGTTTTCTAATAGCAGGCCGCTTAAGGATGTATTGGCTATACAGTNGGGGTACCCCTTCAATTTCTTCCAAATTTTCCTCAATAACTCCTAAACCCTTGGAGATACGGGAAAATTGCATAGGACCTTTCTTGTAGAGGACGACGAGATCTACAATTTCTGTATAAAAAGTTTTCGCTAGCGTCAATAGTTTAAGAGTTATTTGCGAAAAACTGTTTTTTCGTTTTTCGTCCATAACTCGTTAAATATTCTCGAGTATGAAAAATAATTTCAAAAGTACCGTTCGAAGTCGATGAGCATGAATTAAATTAGATTTTTACTGATTCATACGACAGTATCAGACAGCTGTCACTCGGTACAATGTTCCACGCAGTGTGCCAATCATAATGGCATGCTGACGTGCTCGTAACTGGCAGATAACAGAATTATGCAATTGATAACGCCCCGGTTCAAGCCTTCCGCTCGCATAGGAGGATTTTCATGCTCTTCTTCCTCAGCCGAAATCGATTCGATAAAAATTTATGTCGGCAGCTTTCGACACTTGTTTCGTTTATTGCATTCGATAAAAGTTCGTTTAACGAATGGTTCTCTTTTCGTTTAACCCTCTCGTGATCCTTGAAGTCTGAAATAGAAACTTCGACGGACATTCGGATTTTTGGGATGCACAGTGTCTTATGTAATGTTAGAGAAAATAGAACGATTATTGGTAGGGTGAGAAACGAGCGATGTCGAAAAAAATATTTCCACACCTTCGCTTGTTTTCTACCGTGAAACAGGCATAATACATCCCAGAAATCGCCAATTCCGTCCTGACGAGTGTTCCAGTTCGCGTGTCACGATCGTGTACGTACGTACGTACATCGCGTACACGTGACCGACATAACGATCACGCTGGCGCACGATTTGTTTCCTCGAACTCGCACCGAGTCATCTGAATCAGTACCTTTCCTGCTCGTAATTGCTGTTTCTCTTTCGTCTGTTCACCAAACGGCGTTACAGCGAGTCAAACCCTGAGAACGAACGGTTCAGAGCCACCGCGTCTTTTAAGGATAAAAAATGTGAAACCGGAGTCACCGTATCTGAAACTATCTGGGAAAAGTTCGATGAGAACCTTAAATGCAACGAAACTGCACAAAGATACTCTTTACATTATAAACAAAGTTTCCTCGACGTGTCACGGGTCCTGTCGATCAATTTTAGATCGTCTGGTATTTAAAATCGTTATATTTAAGATCGCCTTAAGCATTCGCTCAAGTCCCTGTTTCCTGTACAAGACAGGGCCTGGAAATATAGGATAGACAGGCATAGGAAATGCTTAAGACGATCTTAAATATAAGTAAGGACTTTGAGTACAGGCTTATGAAAACTGGTTTCAAAGTTACATTTTCATTTATCACGTCGCGTTCTGTCGTCACTCGTTGATAAAAATAACTGATCTTAATAATAGCTTTTCATAAAGCGAAGATAATTATAGTGTTTACAGTATTTTCGGGCGAGCCAAGTGAGTAGTTCGTCGAACCTGATGCTCTGTACAAAATAGAATCGCTCTAGAATCAGAGACACGGTTAAGGGTATTTTTGAATGATATAGCTTCGTCGATCCGGTCGTTCTCTCGTTACAAGAACACGCGAGATTCGTAAATACGTGAACGGGCAAAATCCGCGCTAAAAATATGACGCACATGGCCTATTCGTCGTAGATTCTAGCGAGAGCATCGTGCGGTCTCTTCTTGCGAGTGCACTCTCATCGATTCGTTCCACTTTCACGGCTAGACTCGTTCGCGTTCATCCGCAGACTATGAGACAAAAACTCGTTCCACTGATCTCATCCGTTTTCAATATATTTCATTTATATTTTCCGTCAAATAAATAATGGCAATAATTCGCCTGTCTGTTTAAAACATATAATAAAAAGCTGTGTGTCCAATATTTGAACCAGTGAACTTTTAGAAAAAATTATGATTACAGAGGAGTAAGGTTTATAAAATTGTTCGACCTAGGAATCATGTATAAAGAATTATAAAAAATTACAAAATTCTGTCATTGCTGCATTTATATTTTTAAATGAAATGAAAATTCTGTCATTCGACATGAGAATTGCAGATTTAATAACTTTTTTAATAGGCTCGCAAAATTTCTAAAATTTTATACAGCGTTCTGTTAATGTGATATTTAGTGACTGTTAAAATTTCAATGCTTACAACTTTAAGCGTGCATTCGTTGAATCGATCGATCGGACAGAACGTCCAATAATAATATCGTTAAGCGTCGGCGAAGACTCTTAGGAAGAGCGATTTTGCTTATGCAATTCGCCACGAAAATAATTAGGTTCCGTCTTACCGCACTCTCGAGTCTGCTCGATGATCGATTTCTATCAACGATTCGGCCGCGTGCATCAATATACGCGAAAGTTGAAAATAATTCGGAGCATCTGCGAAGCCCGTCGACGCGATCCGTTCGAGCCTCGCGGTCTAGTTAGTCGTCACGAGCCGCGGAGGCTGCGACTATGACCCAGAAAACGACGTGTGCATGCGCTTACATTTATCGAGCCTTTTGTTCCACGTGCTGGAGGGCTTCCAACTTCCAACGCGAAGGTCGAAGCGTCAGAAATTACCCTCGCTTTCACAGGGAAATGGCATTTAAACTGCGAGTCTGCGAGGATGGGAAACATATGCGCGACCTGCCGACGAAGGCTGACGGTTACCTGACAAACCGGCTTTGCATTTGCAATTCGTAGGAGAACGTGAAGTACTCCGTCTCGTTTCCACGGGGACAAGTAGGATTAAGGAGGAAATTCTTTTGTGAGGTCGGAAAGGTAAACGAAGGAACACTGGTAAAGCAACGTGCGGAACACTTGAGGGTGTCGTAAATCAGACCCTTTCCTTCGAAGCTGTACTCAGGTCCGAGGCTCGATAGTCCCCAGGACGGATTTTTGAAAAAAGCCAGAGACGTCTATAAACAGCGGAAGTAGAGGTACTTTGCCACAGACGACGAGCACCGATGTCTTTAAACTATCTCTCATCAGATATTATTATATAAAGTAAAAAATTCACGTTGTTTACGATATTTTTTATTGAAGGCATGTGTGGCCGTGGTCAGGCCGGACCTTGATCGCATTCGCCAAGGGAATCCGTGATTCTTCGCAGTCTCGACCGCTCGCTGCAGACTGAATTTTTCTTCAGGTAAATTTAGGCGTCTCGTCAGGGTCGTTCACACGGATGTTCCCAGCCTGAGCTCGCGGAAGGTCGCTTGATCTTCATCAACTGGTTCACCTTCGATCCCCTCCAGTTGACATCATTCATACTACGTCATGCGAATATTTTTTACTTCCTACTAATTTAAATTCAAATATTTTCGTCTCTCGTTCCCGCGGAAGCTACCTGCGTAATAAGTATTTTGGTAATTAAAATTAATTATAGTTTGTACGAGTAGAGACAGAAAATCATCCTGTTATATCAGGTCGTCTTTTGTTTCAATGACGAGGAAAATCTTTGATATTAAAGTAGACGATTACCATAGGAAGGAATATTATGTATGTTTTATTACTACACGCAAGATGTTAATTACTCTTTACATGCAAAACATGGATCTGCATTGCTGATTCAAATGGCTTTGACATGTTATGCATCGTTAGAAAAGATTCGCTGTATAAACAAATACTTTTTTTCACTCTGAGAACTTCAAGCTATTTTTTATTCAAATCAATTGACGGAACCGTTGAAAAATTCGTACGACGTCTGTTTTGTTCTGATCGTCACATACACCTGTGCGACACGGTTTCGCATAAACGCGAACGAGAGAAAACTGAAGTTCCTCGCACGCGATAATTGATCCACTTTCTAAAGCGAACCAAGGTCTCTCCACGCGTAATCGCGAGACGACAGCGAAATGGCGAAGAATAAACGAGGTTCCAACGTTTTAAACGTGGTATTACGTCAGTTCCGTGACTGGGACGAAAGAGGAAAAAAGCGGAACATGCGGATAGACGTGGTACCCACGGCGCGACCTCTTAATTAAAGAGTTTCGCAATAAACACAGGCTACCTGCACCGTTGCAACGGCTGTCTTTTCGGTTTACATAACAGATTCCGATAAATAGGAAAAGAGGTGACAAAAATTAAAATGAGTGTAACATCGCGACGATGAGCTTCCTTTTTCATAATATCTCGGCGAACGCGAAACGTTATACCTGAATCTCCTGAGCGACTTTAATTGCAAGTACGAATCATTAATTCGAATGATTCTCCGGTTACGATACCACTGCCGCGGATTTTTATGCTACGTAGAACTTGCAGAGCACACGCGACACGAGTGGACAAAATATATCTGACATTTCTGTAAAAGAGAAATCTAATTTATTCAGTTCTACATTAATGAAAAATAAATAAGAAACAAAAGTGCAAGCTGGCACGGCGTGAGCGGCGGTTCGCGGTTGTACCAGTTTCAAAAGACACCTTCTGAAACTTTTGCTTAAAATTATTATTACTAGTTTAATACTTTTTCCTCAATTAAATTTTTCACATTTCCTATACTGGTTGTTAAATTAATTAATTAAATTGATGAGAGCACGCGTAGGGCCCGCGCCCAGCCACGGGTAGGTTGGCTCGGATCGTGGCTTAGCGCGGGTCATTGTTTTTCGTTAATAATTTAAAAACGTCTCACTTTGCACTTTGGCAAAGGAAATCGTTGTTCAGAAACACTTACAGAATCATCTCTCTTCGATTCTAACACTTTTTCTGGGACATGCTGTATGTGTATGTATGTACGGAAGTCGTACGATTAATCGAGCGGCTCCTTCGGAGTTAACTTCCTTAGGACCGTGCCGCATTCTCCGGGAGATAACATCTCTGATCGACCCTGTCCGTGTTCCTCACGTTTGACCTTTTTACTAGCAGTCTTCTTCGCCTAAGTGCGAACGTCACTTACGTCCGCCTTCGTTTATATCGCTAACCCTTAACGTGTATAAATAAGAAGCTAGAATCGTCGGTTTCTTTATAACAGTCGTAAATGAATAATTATAAGGAATGGAATTTTATGTTATAGACCAAATGAAAGAATACGGATAAATGCGCATAGGCTGTGACACGGACGGAAATTGAATACCCGACTGTGTCAGCGAAATAAATGAGACGAGTGCCAAAAGCCTCGTCGCGTTCCCTTCCCATGAAAAAAAGAAGAAATGCTGATGCTTATTGGAACGTCTTCAGAGAGGAGTAATTTTTTGCTGGCGGCCATCCGGAAAAATGCATCCCAAGAGGGATTACGTAAGCAACGTACCCGCATAAATTGCGCTAAACCGCATGTAAGTATCGTGTAGGACATGCAGTGGACTTTAGAATTTCACTCTCGCATATACAGTTACGGAATATTTCCTATTAGGTACGTTTCTCTCGAGAAATTATTGTCGTCGATCATACGTCACGTGAAACTCTTTTGTGAGATAGACATTTTAATAACTATCTTTTATCTGTAATATACGACAATTCTATGATTCGCAAAATCTATTATTGACACGCGGAAACGTGTTTGAAGGAAGGAGGAAATGGACAATGTTGATTACGCAATATTGTTTGAAGTAATAAAGATAGATAGCACATATGTCACGGTAATTGAAATTCAATTAACGACAGCTGAATTCACGCAACGATTCAACTCCAACGGATGACTTTTTATCACGGACGTTCGACCGGTATCTCGTTCTTTTAAGTAGACCCGAGGAAAGCGAAAATGCGTTACGAGCTGAAACCGGTTCGATTCGATCGAAGTAGTAATCGGGAATGATAATGCGATCGACACGTAATTTGACGTTACCAAGCCGTGCCAATAACACGTGGATTTTCGTTAAAAACAACGTTCTCAGGTCTCGGAATAATTCAGCGAATCGAGACGAATCAAGGACGATTTTAACAGGCGTACGAAAGAGTCCCACGAAAAATTTACGTTGATATTCAATGCCGGCGTGGATACAAGGAAACGGAACCGCATGCGAACTGTACGTCAAGGATACGAGTTCGACACGAGCGTGCTTCATCGCCTGAAACTTATCGATATTCTGTAGGTGTTCACGCCACGCACACGAGTGCAATCAGCTGTACAGTGTACACAGAGTACAACCGTACCCGACTTATCTTTTGTCTGTCCAATACGGGACATTTTTACTTACGACAGCTACAGGTTTATAAACAGTCGTTTCGTACGCTACGCGGGTTTTTTCTAGAGAACATACCGATTTCGAGAACAAAATTTATATCGGCAAGGTGAGAGCCAAGTATGAAAACGGATCTTCGTTGATTCTGGATCGAATTTCGAGGTCGGAAGACTTAAGAAACACTATATAATATGAATAAAAGATTTTGTAAATGCGAACGCATAGAACGCGTTCCGGAAGGCTTGAGATACATTCTACATAAATACATACATGATTCTGTAAGTGCGAACGCACAGGACAATCGCTCCGATAATAATACCATTCGATGAAGATAAACTGTTTTAAATCGTACGTGTTTCTCTATCGGTTTTGCATCATTGAAACTGTGATAGCAAAAACTGCAGAAAAACAGATCATACGATTTCGCATGCATTAACCAGACGTCATCGATTAAAGATATTTCTCTGACGTTAACAGGATAATCAGAGAACGTGAGTTTCTTTAATGACTTTAACTTAACGAAACGAAAGAACGTCCAGTATACACGTATACGTATTTAAATACTAAACATTTTTGCCTGCTACGTCCTATCACAACAATTCGTATCTGGTTAGCCACCCACTGATATCGAACTCGATATAAGTACGTACAATTTTCGCGAATTCACTACAGAAGGGTCAGATAAGGCGTTAGTTATCTGAATCTTTTACACACACCCTGGTGAACGGTGGGACCTTGTCCCCGAGTCTCGTTCCTCTTCACACGATGCGACCAAAGCAACAACAACGCACCCTTAAAGCGGAACCAACGAGATTCTAACGTTCTGCTCGTCGTTCTTTTTTGATTCACAAGGAATGAAATGGTAACTCGTTTCTTTCACGCTAACGAGGAGGATATTGCTGTCGACGGTTGTATACTTAGAATCTAGAATATGATGTGCATACGCGTACCTTTAATCAAATTCCATACTATCGTAGAAGTGTTTAAATTGAAAAATCTTACGTATCGCGTTTCGGTGCTCTAACAAGTATATGATGATAAATAATGTTCTTGATAACTAATCGAACAAATTAACAGATAGGTCGTTTAGGATATCGTCAGCTAGCTTTCTACAGACGCATTAAAATACGCAATCTATTTAAAACGATACTGCATTTAATTATTAACAAACGCATATTCATTCGATAAATGATGAAATCTATTAATTCGTGATTAATAGACGACTAAGAACATCCGGTATGTGTATATTTGATCAATTGATGCACACCGACGATGAATAAATTTCTAATTGCACTCACTGTACGGCGGCTTCTCCGTTTCCCAGATGAGCGTGCCCCGATGAAAGTAGACTCTGCACCGTTTCTTTTTCACCACGAACGTGTTCAGGAGCACCGTCTTGGAGGATTGGTCCGCGATTTCCTGCATCATCCTGACGGCTTTCCGCGAGTAACGACACGTTCAATAGGGCCAGGCTGGCGACGTCTTCATCTCTGGCAATCGATTCGTGTGTTACGCGGTGAAAATCGCCGCGAAAATCGTAGAGAAAACAACGCTCGTACACGAAGATCAACGATGAACGCTCAGTTTCGAGTGCACTCAAACAACGCTGTGTGCTCGGTGGTTCGAGCACAACTGGCCCGACTGGCTGAGGCGCTGAGGCCGAGAACGTCGTACCGTCATACGCCGTGCAAAATCGACTCGCCTCGGATCGTCTAGGTTCAGTGTTTTCACGGAAAATGCGGCGCCTCCGCTCAGACGACCCTTCGAGCATGGATAAGGAACTGTGCTGACTTTATCAGCTAAGGGATTGATAATAATTCCATCGTAGAGGGCATACCAGAACTGCTATTATCAATCAATTTGCATTTGTACCTGTGGTGATATTGGCGAGGCCAAAACCGTAATTTTGACTTTGTATTTACTGTTTTGCGATCAGCTGTGGCCGCTGTGCTGTGATTATGATTAGGAAAAATGTTCATAGGAAAAATCCACTATTTCCATCTAGCAACCTTTAAACGGACCGGCGAGAGTTTTGTCGATAACGAAGTAGGAAATAAACTTGTTGACAACGTTGGACAACGTTCAGTTTGACAATTTGACAAGCATCTTCGTACGTCTACTCCAGTATAAAATAATCAAGTTTTGCAACAGATTGTGTATGCAAATATTGAATGATATGCCTGTTTCACATATTTATCTTTTAGAGTAATAAATAATGTTACGATGTTACGAGAGTGGAGAGAGAACGTGTCTTATTTGATCGATAAAATGAGGTGAGACAATCTGAAGAAACCGAAAGTACGTCGGTTTATTTCTCCGTTCGAAGCTCGAGACGGATTTGAAAATGTATCGTTCGGATTTAAAGAACTGGCCAATTTTTACTTTCTTGGATCCAGCTTTTCTTTCGAAAATTCACATGACGATTGTGTATGGTAAGTTTACAAGAATACTACAGTTATGACAAGTGTTATGCTTTACTGAAACGATGTTCCTTTTATGCGTAGGTACCTTAGGTGGGGAAGCTTTAATTGTGACAAAAGATAACATGGTATATGCGATAGGAAGTAATGATCATGGGTGCCTTGGAACTGGCGATACTTTGAGTTATATCGAACCAAGGAAAGTAGAAGCATTATGCGATAAAGAGATAAGAACTATTGCTTATGGCAGAGGGCCACATGTTCTGGCTCTGACAGGAGCAGGAGAGGTATTTGAAGTTTATTTAAACGTACATCAATCCTGCATGAAACGGTGATATTATAATTGTATCCAAGGTATATTCGTGGGGACACAATAATTATTCTGAATTAGGAAACTGTACTGCTGTTGTTGAAGATTCGGTTCCAAAACAAATAAAAATGGATTTAAGTAACAAATTTGTTGTCGACATTGCTTGTGGAAGTTATCATTCTCTTGCATTAACAAGAGAAGGGGAAGTATGTATATTAAGTTAGAGTTGAATTAATGTGTTCTTCGACAGCAGCCTAGGATCATGTGTTTCTTCTAGGTATATGCATGGGGTGGAAACAACTTCGGGCAAGTAAATAGTAATGTAGGAGTAAATTTGAATACTCCCAAAAAGGTGAATTCTGCATTGACCTTGAAAATAGTTTCGATCAGTTGTGGTCAGGCAATGAACATGGTGATCACGAACGATGGAGAAGTTTATGGTTGGGGACAAAACAACTTTGGTCAATTAGGAATTGGAAACTATGTTAATCAAGGAAGCCCCTGTAAAGTAACGAGTCTCATTGGCGTTACAATTGGTAATAGCATTACCACTGGCTGTTCTCATAAATAAATTAAAAATTCTACTCTTTTATGGTGACAGAGAAGATAGCTTGTGGTTGCACGCACGTCCTGGCCCTAAGTAATAAAGGAAATTTGTACGTGTGGGGCGCAAATAATTCAGGCCAGTTGGGTTTGGATACTGGGAGCAAATCAGATGCTTGGCGTCCAGTACAGGTGCAATACGAGATAAAACTGAATAAACGGAGAAATAATAGCGAATCATTTTCAGCTGGTAGTGGAGGAAGTGAATAGGGTAGCAGATATAGCGACCATGCATTTCAGTCACATCAGCGTGGCTCTGGTCGAAGGCAATCGAATATATGTATGGGGTTCGTGTCTCTCGCAAAGTGTCTTAGTTCCAACTCTGACTACTTTAAATTATCTGCACGACGCTTTCGCACTATACGCGACACCTAAAGTTACGTATAAACCGATCGTCTTTTACGACGACGAAGAGGAAGTCAGTTTCGAGGATTGCTTTAGAGAAGCATTCGACGATTCCGTACGTATTTTGTCGAAAGAAAAAGAATACTCTCATAAGGTATACTAATTAAGAATACTCCGTTCTTTTTATTTCGTAGACTACGAGTGACTTCGTCGTAAATGTACAACAGAAGTCTATTTTTGTACACAAAGCTATTCTAAGGATACGTTCGGAATATTTTCGGACGATGTTTCAGAATAAGTGGGCCGATGATGATCAGTGGTAAATACTGCCTTTAGCTATGATCAGTACTTCAACTTCCGTTCATTCATTCGTTCGTTCTAGTGCTATGGATCAATATCAATTTTCGTACAACGTTTACAAAGCTTTTCTGAAGTATTTGTACACCGACGAGATTGATCTACCCGAGGAAAATGTGTTTGGTAGATATCTAATTTACATTTTGTAAACAGTTTCATGAGATGATTTTAAAAACTATCTTCGTTTCTTTCGTGAACAAGAACTTTTGGAATTGGCAAACTCGTTCAACGAAAACCAGCTAAAAAAACGGTGCACACGAATAATGAAGAAAGCTATTACGATTGAAAATTCTGCCTCCATCTATAGCATGGCCGTCGAATACGATGCCAAGGTAGATATAATACACAATCTTTTCAAGTCTCATATTTTAAGGACAGGAATACCGTTTATGTGAATTTAATTCTAGGAACTCGAGGAGTATTGTTTTAAATTCATGCTGAATCACATAACGGCGGTAATGCAATCAGAGAATTTCGCGAAACTTAGCGAAAATATGATGAAAACCTTCAAACTCAAAGCCGCGCACACTGGTGCGCTTAAAACTTAAAATGCGTTGCGCTAACAAAATTTCTCAAACGATGTAAATATCTAATAGACTTCACTTGCGATACGTGATTGACTAAAGGTTTTTATGAAGTTGTCATTCAGACTAGGGACACACCGTACGTACTTACCTCTTATCTTATTTTGTACCAGTCAGGTACTTGTCGTTTGCGTTTAATAACGTGGGTACTGAGAACACGTTCTTCCTGTTTCAAACAAAAAGGATTACGCGTTACCAGAAGATCGAAGCTGGTTCTAGTCAATGATAGTCATCCAAATGCGTGACACACGTAACGTTTATTACACGTATCTCATTCGGACCGTGTCCTTTTTTATTACATTGGTTTCATCTTGTCGATACATATGTATTTATATATACGTACATAAATTACATTAGTTTATACATAATATGTAAAATGTTACCTTTTCCGTTTGATTTAACAACGAAGTTTATTCTGTTTTTCTTTTTTTGTTTCCATCTTCGTCTGTTACCTTTATACATATATATTCTTCGAAATAAATTACTTGTTATGTACGTCAATCTACTCGTTTAATGAATCTCCCTACTAATCAATGAATTGGTCGCGATCACAAGATGCGAAGCGTATCGTATAATTAGTGAGGCGTAGAGAAATATGAACAATTTTATATAATTACAATTTCGAAAGCAACGGTATCGTGTTGTAACGTAGTAATAATCGTTTTCATTTCCATTTTATTCTTTGGCAAAGGGATGTATGGTCAACAGAACTTACTGCACTATCCTTCGCACATTATTTTTATTACGGTATTCTCATTATATACAAGCAGTAAATTTTTCTCGTTTTCGTATAATGTGTACGTAACTACTTAATAATAATAATAATAATAATAATAATAATAATCAATAATAGTATTTAACAAATAATCATTATGCTTTATATTTATATTTAAATATTTATACGTATAGGTAATATTAGGTAGTCGGTCTGCCGTATGTTTAAGTTGTTACGTGTTTCTGCACCTTTGTTTCATTTTTAATTTGCACTACCTTCGCATTCGCGGTGCATTCTTCGGCCCTACGATAATTCTTGTCTTTTGCGGAAGAATAATATCGGAAAGTATTCTAATCGTTTAATTCGAGAGCTTCGCTTGGTCGCAATTAAACGTGATCGGGATTCGTTTCCGATGGTGAAATCGAAACAGAACAAGGAAGAGCGAGAAACGTTTGGAAGAATGCACCGGACGAACGCAGCATCGTTTCTTTCTGGCCGGTTGCGTTCGACGATCGTTATCCGACACGACACGGAAACGGGAAGAAGACGACGAACGCACCTTGGGATCATGTCGTGTCGAATTCGATCCGGCTGTTCGGCTAGGATAATTATTTAGTTCCTCTGCGTTTTATTTTTTGTTCTTGTAATTTAATTATAGAGCGTATTTAGGCCTGCGGGCTACTTTTCCAGCGACTCGCTGTGAATCCTATTGACAGAAGTAAGATTTTTTTTTCATTCGATTCGATAGAAGGAAGAAAGGAAAAGCAAGGATCTCTCCGTTAAAATTCTCCTTTCCCCGTTGTCCTCCCCGACGTCTGCCGATTTTCCGCGTTCCTTTTACACCGTCCACGATTTTCTTTTATTTCCTTCGTTTCCTACACGAAATCGAATCGCGACGTATCGTGCAACCAGAAACGCGGTGAGAGAGAATCCTTCCTTCGACTCTTTGACTAATATCGAGGTCAACCGCCGCGTCCACGCAACTGATATCCACCCTCTGTCGATCGCCTCTAAATAATCTTTGGTAGGTACTTTTTTTTTTCTTTGTTTAGCAAGATATGTACACGTACTCGGGGTGTATGATATTTACACGAGTTTATTGTACGCTGAGAATCGATGGTTTACGAATAGTTCGCGAGAATCACCGTTACACAATGGATATATCGTGTCTTCGCATTGTATATTCATACGTTGATTTTTGCAATCGACAAGTATCGTCGTTCAATAGGTATATACGGAGGACCGGCGTCCGACGTCTATATAATATATTATACATTAAATTACATCGATATAGTCACAGTTAGTTGCGCGAGAAAACTTGAACCGTGATCAGAATTATTGTGATCGCGTTCCTTCGCCAAAGTTTCCTCTTCCGCGTTTCATTTTTTCGATTAAACGCGGATGAGAAAATCGAGTGCTCGATGGCATGGATTACTTAGCCCTGTTCATCGTTATTATCCTCATTCTTCTTCTTCTTCCCTTCTTTCACCGTACGTATCGCTTTTCGGCTTCACGTTCACCCCGACGCCTGGCGCCGCGGTGGAAGATCGTTTAGAGTCCTGTTGCACGGACTTCTAACAAATCGTTCTGAAATCTTCTGCCGGCTACCTGAGGAGGCCTGTTATTTCTCGGATCGTCGTCGACGGTGTCGCAGGGGCAAAAGTTCTCAGAAGGAATCGTCGCGAGCTGGTATTCGTTCGCAGCGTTACGATCACGATTGTCCGCCCTATGAATTTTCTAGTCCCTCTCTCGTCCTGAAAGGTTTTCCATCTCGACGAAACGAGTTCCGATGTAGCGCGACGTGGCACGCTCGAACCGTGGGGAGAAGATATGATAGAGGAGGATCGCGAAGGAATTCCGGAATTGGTGAGACCAATCGTTTAACCGAGTATCCGGGTTCGGAGCATCGAGACGGGCCAAGGATATGAAATAAAAATCAATAAGAGAACAAGCTTTCTGGAAATGTTCCAGCCGACGTTCTTGGAAATCATCTTCGTTGCGGTCAATTTGCACGCACGCTTTTACCGTTTCAAGGATCGACAGACTCTTCCCTTCTTCGCTGCGATAGACTATATACAAACCTCTGATCGTCCCCAAAATATCTATTTGCGAATTACTTATGGGTTTACATACGCGGTTGCGTCGACGAACCTGAATACAGGGAATCGCGTACACGTAAACGCGCGTACTCTTCGTATGATCGGAATCTCATCGATATAAACCGTTGTTCGATTTATACCCGTTACGTTGTATTTACACGATACTGTATGTACATGAAACGCGTATCGACGGACCGTGGCTTCCCGATCCTCGGATCAGCGCGACTGAACAGATAAAAAATAGTGGAAATTTGATTTATTTGTATGAACGAAATACGTCTCTTTTTGATTCTACGTTTGTGCGCCGAGACCTTCGCTGGCTCGAGGATCGAACTCATCTTCATTTTTCCTGCTTCCTTTATGCTTCTCTCATCCCCGATCTCTGCAAGCTCCTTGTTCCCTCCCTCGACTCTCTGTTCCTTTCTTTCCTTGCTTATTACACGTAATTGACTGATCTCGTAAGGGGAAAATATGGAAGCGGAAGGAAAGTCGTCATGGTTCTTGACTAGTGCGACGGAGAAAAACGAGTGAAAGGGTAAATGGGAGGAAGAAGTTCGAGGAGCTTTTGCCCTGTGGCGTTGAGAGGACGGACTCTGTTCTCAACGCCAATAAGAATCTAAGTAAGAAAAAGCAGGACTGGCAAAACGCCAGGGACAAGGGACGGCGGGGAACGATTCGGTCCGAAAGGGATGAAAGGCTCTCGTCGATTCAAAGGGTGGAGGGAGCAGAGGGAGGAAAGACGATTTCGCCGATTGGAAGATTCCTCTCTATGTTGTACACGATTCTTGTACAGACAACTTGCCTTACAAGCTGGTCGGACTAGGAAAATTTAGACCAGACGTTTCCCGATAATTCTTATTTCGCTACGAGCCAGTGGAAATTGTCGTTTTTTTCAGTGATCGATAAGAAAAAAATAGGAGACAGAGAGGGAGAGCGAGTGAGATCGGTTGATTCCCGGATAAATCGATAACGCGTTTATACATACAAATATGTATAATGTCTATATATATCGGACAGTTCGCTGAACATGTGCACACAGAAAATGCGCGCGTGTACGTGTACGCACGCGGTGTCATCTTGTGCTCACAACGATATTCAGTAGATATGTACCTATAAATAATAATCGGTGGTCAATCGAAAAATTTAGCCGCGCTCACTTCCCACCGAGGAAACAGGTGGACGAGACGCGAAAGGAGAAATCGAAAAGGATTTCGTTTTTTAGACGTTGCTCTTGTTTCTTCCGTCAAATTTTCAAAACTGGATTTAGTTTGGAAGATCTCGATGATACGGAGGACTAGGAGATGAAGGGAGAGAAATGACCATTGTGGAAGAATAAGCAATCTTCCGTGATTCTTGTACATTCATCTTTTTCCTCAGGGGGAAAAGAAGTGCGAAGAACTGCGAGTGACGAAATTGCTTACGACTCCGCGTTTGCAATTTACCCGTAATCAATTTCAGAACCCTATAGGGACGCGTGTCACTTCTCTTTTCGGCCGAAGAAAAAGAACGAGAGGTACGATCGCTGATACGATGGGCCCGATCCGGAAGTCGGGAGTTGGGAAAGACGTTTCGTAAAGGGGATGGTCGAGACGGCAAGGCGCGCGACCTTCATCGGCGGCCAAGCTGGAAGAATAGAAGCGTATTCTGGTGTAAAATCGATGGCGGAGCCGCGAGGGAAAATAGAGCGCATGGGATGCGACGCGACGACCAACGACGTTCGGAGTGCACCTTCGACGCGGCCGAGGCCTGAACCGTATGCAAAGTACATATCCTGTCGGTCGTTTAATTTCGATCGAGACTGCCGGCCGGCCGGCCGGGACGAGTTCTAATGCGACACACACCAACAGTTCTGCATTCGCTGTCGCATCGTAAAATTTTACGACCGCCGCTGTTCCACGGCGAAATTAATGGAAACCAATATCCCTTATCTCGACCGTCCGTTTCGCGCGATCGATCAAATGCGAGGGGGAGCTTCGAGTTCTTCTTGCAAGGAAGGCGACGTGATTTAAGCATGTTCGTATTGAAAATAGATCATAAAAAAAAAGAGAGCGAAGAATCACAGCGTTTGATTGAGCACGATTCTTCCACGACGCGATCAGCGAATAAAAAACGATTCCTCAATTGTTAGGAAGGAATCGGTGGGAAAACAAAATTAGCAGGGATACTGTCTCTGTTACAAGCTGTTGATTGCTAAATTACAAGATACTGGTTCTTGCGACGAATCAATCCGCTTGTTCCGCGGACACAATGGGCCACTGATCGAGTATTTCGACCGCGTAGCCAGAGCGTCGATTAGTTTACCGCGAGCAAATCAGGGGCGTTGCGCCGCGGCGCGTCGGGCCGAGCGATTTGCAATTCGCATCGGGACTTGATCCAGAAGACTGGCATGATTTCTGTCAATTTACCGTACCGCTTATAGCGACGGGCACATGGGAATTAAACGGCCGCCCGTCAATGTCCAAATGTTCTCGAATTAACATCGGGCGAGCGCAGAATTTCTGCGTTAAACAAATTCCATTACCTTTCGACAGACGTAACAGAATTCTAAAATAACTCCAGGAATTTTGTATACAAATACGAACGTAGAGCTAAAGGAATGGACAAAGATAAGATTGTAATATTAAAACTTGTTCGATTGTTCAATGATTAAACGAGTGAACGAAGGTGTATCAGCCGACGATTCATTCGTGATCGTCGGCTATTGGGAACGATCGAAGTTGCCGGTCAGGTACGAAGGCGTTTAAGTCTCCGCGATTCGTACGGATACGAGTGCAACTGACTCTGCAGTAGCTGTACCGCATTACAAACATGCGCACGTAGGTACATATAGGCGGCCGCAGAGCATATAGATCGAATTGCGGCTCGCATTACCGTACCCCTCTGTGCAGACAGTTAGTTGCAGAGCACCAATAACGGTCGAATTAAAAGCGGAACGAGCTCGGTGTTCCGCGAGAAGACGTTACCCTATCTGCTCGAAATTCGCTCGTAACGGTATATCACGATTTTGACTGGCGTCCAGAAGAGAAGTCGTCGAAATGATTCAACGATTTCGATCAACGAGGGAAAATAAAAGAACGAGTCGGTCACGGGGACAGCGAAGGGAAAGGACGACGAATGCAACGAACAATGCTCGTTCGTTCGATGAAATTTTCCGACGGTCAACGCCGGATTATCCTACCGGGGCCAGATATACGCGTCGCGTCGTCGTGCCGCGCTCGGGGGAGGACGGCTGCGTCCTCGCGATAACGTCCAGGTCGTTGGTGATCTCTCGCTCGTAAAATAAAAGCACCGATGCGATGACCCATATTTCTACGCTCGCGCCAATAAAAAGCTGCAACGTACTGGTTTTCTCCGCGCGCGCGGCGTACAAACGAATTTCTTCCAATTAATCGTCCGATATGATGTTTCACGCTATGGCAATTTTGGTTTTTCATTCTTCATTCGTCACGGACATCGATCGACACGGAAATTGTAAATTCGTTTCTAGTGATACTCGGATGAAAATTAAATACGGCCACGGTCTTACGTGCGTGAGTAGTCGCGGTCGGTGCAGGTCAGACACGTCGTAATGGGACCGGTCACCGGTGCGTCAGGACGCTGAGGTTTTCAGAGGACACTTACTCGTGTTCCATCGTCGATCCATCGATTCTACCTGTCTTTTTTTTTTTTACCGCCGACTGCTTCCTTTCCTCTGTATCGTTCCGATATTCCACCAGCGACGCCAATCGTGATCGGTGCGTGTCTCGGAATCGCGAGGACTTGGTCGATCGCACTTTCGAGAGCACGCAGGGAAAATAGATGAAACGAAAGAATAAGAAAAAGTAATGTAAAAACGACACTTATCGGTGACACGTCGTCCGGTCCTTCGAAAAAAAATCTTCGGGTCGTTAGAGCACAGTTTCTACCGTCTCCCCTGTCCACAGGGGACTTCCGTTAGATCTGCCATGCCGCGTCTGACCGGTCGGAGAATCTCTTCTCTCACTGACCAGGCAGAGAGTGACTGGTCGCGATCTCGTCCCTGGTCGATCGAGAGTAGCAGCCTCCGGTCCATTGATATGTCTACTTCCGCTTCTCGTTTCGTCTATAATCAGCGATACCATCGACTCGTTTCCGTCCACACGTTTTAGAGAGCCACCGATTCCACCGACCGCGACCGCGGGCTCTGGTCTACTCGACGATCGGGAACGGTTCAGGGAGCCAGGAGCTAGACGATTCCCCTCACGTCGAAGATGTGCGGCACGCCGTTCGCGCCCGGGTAAACCAGGGTGCTGAACAAGGTGCCGATTAGCAGTAAGCTCAACACCAGCATCAACTGTCCACCGGGGTTCACGCTCGTGCCGCTGCACGCTTCCTTCGAGGCGAGTTCCAGCTTCGCTGTAACACGAACAAACGTTACAAGTTTCTTAACAATCACCCGATTTATCGTAAACGAATCAACGGCGACGCGAACGTAAAAAGAAATTGAATATTATGTATTCGATTCAGTCGTTGAGAATATTTTAATGGCCTGCATCGAAATTAACCGTGAAGGGTATAGTTAAGCAACGCGGCGACGACGTTTCGTCAAAGCGGTTCGTAACAATGGGTACGAGCTTTGGCGGACAGGAAACAACGAGACAACGAGCGCGGAACCTTTGACGATCGCAGCCGGATTTAATCGAGCGAATATGAAAGCGATAACAGGGAGAGAGACGGTGGCACGACGGAGAGAGGCCGAATTGTTCGAGCGCAGGGGAGCCCGCGGATTACCGCGCAACAAAGAATTCATTTAACTTCCCCCCCGGAATAAACGTAGCGCGAAATCCCGCCGATCGCGATTCAATTAATATGGACGAGGATAATCGAGATTTATATCGTTCGTCGATTAATTAATGCGGGCAATCCTTTCGCCTGTTTTATCGAGATCCATCGATGCCACTGCTACTCGTAACGCAGATTCGTATCGACTATTGTCTCGCGAGGGGAAGGGCAGATTCCGAAGAGAAGACACGAGAGTTCTTTTCTCTCGGCGTTCGTTTCTATGGCAACCACGGTGAAAAGGGCAACGACAAACCAGCCAGTCGCATGTACAGATTTTCGAGAGGCACGAGCTTAGCTTAGCGACAAATTGCGCGGCGGGACGACGACGTCTGCCAAAGTAGTTCGATTCCGATCGATGCTCAAAGCAAGACTACCCTCGTTGTTCTAATTGTGACCAAGCCCTTTCCATACCGTCAACTATGATACCAATGAAATAATAATATATAATACGAGGATTCTTTGTTCATCCTTAAATTCTTAAACGAATTGTAGCCGACGCGTCAAGTGATCTGTTGCAACGAACCGTCAAGCATGCGATTATGCCTACGTACGATACTTAGCTCGGTGCTCAAGACTCACGTAAGCTGATGTACTTAAAAAATATCCGTTTCCGTTCGACGATAGTACGCGACACGTGCACAGGTGCACGCACGCACGCACGCACTTACACGTGCGCACGTTTGCGCGCACAGACGCGCCGCGGCGGCATCGATCCGAGGCTGGCCAGGTTCCACTCCCGCGGCCACCCTCGTTCACCCTGCCGGCCTGCCAGCCTGCCTTGCCTCGTCCGTTTCGTTCCTGGGTGCCGCGATCAAAACCCCTACCGCTCCACCTACATCCAGCCACTGTTCCGTTGCCCCCCACCGACTTCATCGCTCTTTCTTTTATTGTTTACGTACAGGCGCCGATCAAACTTGCCAGCATCTTTTTCCTCTCACCACCTTCGATCTCGTTCTTTATTTTTACTTAATTATCAGTGCAATTATTGATATTCCATTTTCGTTGACTACTCGTCGGTGAAAAATGCGCGATGACCGATTCGATGGTGATTAAGTCGTGGGATAATTTCGAGAATCGCAGCTCGCGCATTAGAATATTTCCTGAGCGATTCGTTCACGGGGCTATAACGAGAAAATGAAATGAACGCGGAAGCAGTCCCGGGAGGACACTCGATTCAAGGATCGATTGGAAAAGTTCCGTTGGCAGAGGAACAGTAATCAAACTCCGAGTTCTCGCCCTATCCATCGCGACATATTTTCCTTTAATTACTTCGTCGACGAGACCGGACTTTCTCAACCGGAAGGACGCGATAAGAGAGAAAGTTGGCCAAGTGTCCCGGGTTGAAAAAATAAACGGGCGCAATTAGTTTCCGCGTCGACGTACATACGGCAGATGGATGGCTCGAGAGTCAATAGCAATAACCGCTCGGTAACTGCCATTATCATTCGCGTTCTGTTTCCCCTTCGCTTCGTCCTGGCGACTGGACAATCAATCAGTATGTTTGTAGAGGATACGCGTATCATTGTCCTTGCGATCGAGCTTCTGTTTACAGTAATTAATTGCGACTCGCAGCTCGGCGAACGGTAGAACGTTCTACGGCGAAGGCCTTGCGTCTACTTTTTCTCTGTTGGCTCGTACGTAAAATCCCTTTCATTATTTTCTCCATTGTTCTTTTTCACCCTTTCCCACTTATTACTTTCTTCCAAGCAGTTTCCCGCGAAAGCTTTGCCGGAGCAGGAGATTTACAAGTTTGCGAAAACGTTGACTTAAAACAACGCGGTTACTTTCGCTGTAACCATCGCGGGACATGGAAAGAGAGACTGTTGCGTTCGCGAACAATTTCCAAGTTTCCATTCGAAACTTTCTTACGCGACAACTCGATACAATCGTTTCCGAGGGAAAAACAATTCCGCCAGCGGCCGTAACTTTCCCGTCTCGCGTTTCACGAAAAAGTACCAGTAAGAATAATGAGATTAGCGAGTTATCGAGTAAAATAAAAATTCTAGAGAGGAAATAGAATAGACCGGGGATTTTGGACGGGAATCAAAGGGGATATGGGCCATCGTGAACGCAGTTTTACGAGGGATCGTTACAGGGAAAGCGATAACTGGAGCGGGACGTCGGCTCTACCGAGCGGATTTCAGGTTGGCGCGGTGTCAAACGCGGTGGCAGCATTCTGCCGCATAGATTATGATTACGCTTAAGCCTCTCGGTACGAGCGGGGGTTGCGTTTAATTCTTGGACGTCACGCCGCCGCGTCGCACCGCCTGCGACCGACGACGGTGGAATCGGTCTCACGGTTTCGCGCCAGCGTTACGCCAATGGCTCGATTTCGGATCGTTAGCGATGATGAAAATGACACCTTCGTCCGCTCCAGTCCGCTCCGATCGGTGCTACTGCACCGTACCTACTTACACGCCTGCCTGTCTAAAAGCTTCGCTCGTTTCACGAAGCGATAAATCATCGTTGAGAAGCGAGGGCACTCGTAAAAAGAACAGAAATCGTTGCCCGAAACTCCGATCGTTGAACATACAATTAGAGAAAAAAATCGCCCGTATAAAATTACTATTACGAATTGAAATACGACGACCAGATGTATGGACGGTGAGATAATGACACAAAATTTTGACATGGGAAATCTGACTATTTAAAATTCATTCATACTCGGATTTCAGGCGAGGGATATTCCGCATGGTCTAATTTTGTTGGTCAGAGATTTTTCAGCTGAGAAACAGATAAAACGCGCGTGCGGTTACGCCAATGGTTCGTCGTGTAAACGAGTCATTAGTGCCCGGTGACAGCGACACGTTCCTGGTGCCGCGGCGTAACCGTCTACCTTCGCCGGCGTGCGGTTAACCTTTCGAAGCTCACCGACGTAATTATAAAGCAATGCCGCCGCGACGTCGTTGTTCTATTTAGAGTGTCGTCGACGTCGTCGTCGATGCGCCAGACCGAAGGCAACGCATTTGCCGTATATGCGGACATTTCATTTAGCTAAGGAACATTTCCACGCCCTCGTCTCTCGCTTCTCAATCGTGTCGCGGAACTTCTCTTCTCCTACGCTTGTCTTCGAGCCACGCGGCTACGCGGACAGGTCCTGGTGCGTGGAACGTTCAAATTTATATATATATACAATTCGAGCCGTGTCGCTGAAAGAATGAAATATAAGAGAAACGATGTTCCACGTACGAGTGTAACTTTCGGGCCTCACGGATTTAGACAGAATAGGAATGATCCGACGGTTCTGGTAAAAGAGATCGAGAGATGCCTGATGACTAGCCGCGAGCACGATGGATATTGTTTGAAGGGGCGGAAAAAAAAAGAGAAAAATCAGCCGGAGGGGAGCTGCGGGAATAGAAAAGACGCGGCGATCGCAATTTCCCGCTACATCGCCGCTCTTATTCCGTCGTGATATGATGATCCCCTCTTGGGTTCGCGAGCGTCACACCTCCTGTGTGTCTTCTTTTCTCGTCCCCTTTGTCCCCACGCGATCATGAGTCTTTGACTCGCGATTCCCGACGGATACCTTTTCCCTGCCGTTTGATTCGATCGCGCTAGTCGTTTACTCGTAAAATAGATTCACCCTGCTTCTCCCAAGGGTCTACTTCGCGCTCAAAAATTTCGAGTACGAGCAATCCTTTCCGAACGCTAACGACTTTATCTCTCGCTCGGTGAATAGTCCGTCAAGAAGGGAATATAGTATTTCATTTCTTCCTCGGAAAGGAAATAAAATCGACAAAGGTTTTCGCTACGAATCCCTCAACTAGTGGAGAAACTCCGAGGGGCAACTCAATTAAACGCGTTTGCTTTTTCGAAAAGGAGTTGAACGAAACTTTTTCCACGCGGCGCGCCGTTTCACCGCCGACTCTCTCGGTTACACCTTTCCCGTTTGCCCGCGAGCATCTCTGGCGAAATTACATTTTCCATCTTCGCGAGTGAGCATCGTCGGAAGAAAAACGAATCCTTTTTCCGGTCGCCGAGTTATTGTGACCCAGACGAGAAACACGGTTCGATCGTCCCCCGTGGCTATTAAACTAATGAAAAAATGTTCGATGCGACCGACGTTCGTACCTAAATACCTGAAAGAAAGATTTCCCGAAAGACGCGCCAGCAGCGGCGGCCGTGCCAATAAAAATTGGCTCGTCCCGATTCTTATTATCGCGGATGGGCCCGCGAATATTGCGGGGGAGGTCAAAGACTGTTGGAAACGGACAGAGATTATTCTTTGAATGGATATCGTCGGTTGGCTCGCAGCCACGGCGTTTCTTCTCCCGCGATCCAACTTCCTCGAAGGCTGAGCACTCTCGATTAGTAGACTACCTTCGGAGTCAATGGGATGCGAAATTGCTTTCCGAAGAAGAGAACTCCTTTCCCAACGCCCCTTCCCCTTCTCTTACGTTTAACTAAAACTCGATCGGTTAATCAATCGGAATTGATCGCGGTCGCTTGTTGCTCGCTCAAATACATCCGCGGTGGTTAAGCAAACGATCGTAAATCAAGTGACACGGTATAGGTGCACGACTTTACATATTATTATGCAATTACGTCGAAAGAGGAAATACCTCCTTGAGAGAAACACGTAGGATCGAGGCGAATCTCATCGAGTTCCTTTGTCGCAGCGGGCGACGTGACCAATAATCGGATCTGCATAATAGACGAATTGGAATACCAAGAAAGCGGATCGAGTTCTTCCTGGGCATCAGCCGAGAACCCGGTGGGATGGCACCGCGCCAGAAACCGCGAATATCTCTCCATTAAATTGCAGTCGCCCCACGATAACGTAATTGGGATGGAATAATTCTATGGCGGAGAACATTGCCAGCGAAGTAATTTCCAAATAATAATTTTCGTCGCTACCAAAAAATATACACGAGGTCATAAAATAAAAACGACGGAGAGCCCTGCTAGAATTCAAGTCGTCGTCGACTCGAAAATTCTTGTCGTTCATCGGATTTCAATGAACGTGATATATTAAAAAATATCAGCAAATACGTTTGCATCGTTCCTGAAAATTCGACGCGTGATCAATCGATGAGCGACAAGGATTTTAGTTGTGCGAGTTTTTGCAGGACACTCTCGCGTTTCGGAATTACGTACGTGAAAAGGCTTTGCAATTTAATTTCGCTTTTAATTCCGCGGTGAGCCACGGGGTCTCGTTAAGGACCTCATTAAAGCACCGGATGGAACGAACCGCGCCGCATTTGTTCCCCCGGCGAGGACGAAATCGTCTCTGGCCATCCTCCGGATTCTCTTCGAGTTTGCACGATTCCCCTGCGAGTGCCGCGCCGCCGCCGCCGCCGCCGCCGTCGCCGCCCTGATGATAAATACCCGAGCTCCGTGTCCCGGAAGTTTAATCGGGAACGAGTCCCGTTCAAAGTTCAATAACGGTGGGACGCGACGGTAGGTCGATTAAAATCTTTGGAGCACGGGAAAAGTAATCGGGCCGATTGATTTGCTTTCGTCGGTCACGAGCGACCGCCTTGCGGTTAATGAAACGTATTTTCCACTCAACAGGTGTCACAGAAGACAATTCCAAGTGCGATCGGAGGGCGGGAAACGGTGAACCGCTCGTTAAGATCGTTTCCCCGCCCTCTAATCACTCCGCGTACGAGTTAACGCGTTCAAAATTTCAACGCTCGTTTAACGGCTTCGCGTGCCGTATCACCCGTATCTGGTTTCTCGTTCATATTCAACGCTGATTACTTTCGTTAACTAGCGTATAATTGGAAACGGTAAAAGTTGGTAATCGCTCAACGATTTGTAAATTCGTTGCCACTCGACGCGCGAAATGAACTACCTAAACGAGATCGGTCGCGTTAAGCGGAGCGAGTAAACGTTGTTTTCTCCCGAGAAATCTGACGGTACGACGTACGCTCGCTCGCGAAAATTCCAAGCGAAGCTACGATGTTAACGAGAAAGAGAATGCGAACTTACAAGTGGCGGAGAGGAGTTGCGGAAGGTACTTCTTCCAGAATGTGCACTGTCTCATCCTAGGCCCGTTTCCGATCTCGGAGTTGTTGGTGTCCAATGTCAGGTACTCTTTTTTCGCGGCAGTGTGCGGCGGCCAGTAAGCCATCGTCCACGACTCGGCGTCCCCGATGTTCGGGTCCCTAACGAACAATCCCATTCGCGACCCCGTCAATAGCCTGTGCCAGACTCGAACTAGAAGAGGAGGAACGATCATCGACTCACCCTGTCTTGGCGAAGTTTGCCCAATACTTCATCATCCTCTTCGACAAGTTCACTTCCTCCTGCGTGTAGCCCTTCGAGGAGTCCAAGGGCTCGCCGAATATGTAACTGATCTCGTCGGCGTGCATGACGCCGGTCCACCTCGGCCACGGATTGTTTGCCGACCTGTCGACAGATTGAAAATCCCGATTTCCCGCAACGTAAACGCGTGTGTTTCATCTTTCAGCGTCCGTTAATAAATTAATAGGAGAGCCGAGCGAATTTATCACGGGTCGAGACCGTCCCGCCTTGAGGAAACGATCGAACATAGATAATCCAGAATTTTCTCACCTATGCTTGTAGTAGTACATGTAAACGGTGTTCCCCGTGTCGGCGTACCGATCGGCGAACTCGTTCACGTTGCAGGTGAACTGATAGTCGCCGACTATTTTGTCCAGTGAGTCGCGGTTCACGTGTGGATCGTCCGGGTGCAGCCAGTCGGTGTATTCGTAAATGATCGCGTGCCTCCCGATCTGATTCACGTATGGATTCAGCTCCGAGACCGCGCTAACGAACTGTTCCCTCGTGACCTTTACGTCCTCGGTCCCGTCGATGCGGAACAGCTCGGTCAGATAGTAAATGATAAAGTAGAAACCCTCCTCGGTGTTAGAGCCCATCATGATGTTCGCCTTCTTGAAGGACGAGGTGACCAACGATCGTTGCGGAGTCTCGTCTAAAAAGGCGCCATCGATCACCGGGACGAACGGGAACTCGCAGATGCCAAGAGTGCCCCACTCGTTCTTCACCAGCTCGATCGGGTCTTTCGTCTGCAGGCAATCGATCACCTCCTGAAGGTTACTGCGATCGTGCGGGCAACCGACGGCTTCGGCCAGCCGGATACCGCGTACGATCGACTCCTCGCGCGAGATTATCGCCCAGGGCGCCGTAGGAGAGCCGGACTGCATGATCGCCTGGCTGAATAGGTGCCTGAAACGCAGAACGAACAAGCCCTCGTTCAAGCGGAGACCGAGGAACGGGTTCCCGAGTTTTCGAAGCGGCCACCGATCGTTAGATCCATCGGCCCTAACAACGCGTTCGAGACCACCACTTTCTCGCATTACGAGATCGAGAACGGATCGCTCGCTCGATCATCGAGTTTCGATCGACGCTGTGAGAACGCGACTGACGGGAAAGGGGTGATCTCCAACCGACTATCGCGTAGCATCGACAGTAGCAGTAGACATATGGCAGCGGCAAGCAAGAAGACAAACAAATATAAAATAAAAAAAAAAGAGAACGTTGTTTCTTTTAAGTGACAAGGAGTTTAAAGGTATGCACCTTGACAGAGGCGAAAGGAGGTGCATAGAAACGGAAACGGCGCCCGCGCTCTCTCCGAACAGGGTCACGTTGTCGGGGTTTCCGCCGAACGCAGCGATATTGTCGCGAACCCACTGAAGGGCCATCATCTGATCGAACAGACCGGCGTTCCCAGGAACATCCGAGGTTCCGAAGTACAGGAAACCCAGGCTGGCGACTCGATACTGCATCGAGACTAATATCACGTTCTCCTCGGACACCAGGGTTTTGTGATCGTATACGTCGAGGGTCGCCGATCCGGAGTAAAAGCCACCTACAAGGATGTCGCCGCGATGTCCATCTCTCGAAAGCCAACCTCTCTTTCGCTCTCTCACCCTCATTCTCTCAAACAATTTTTACGCCCAAACTGTCTCTACTCTAACAACATTTGCGCTTCTCTTTTTACATGTACGCACACGCATTTTACACTCTTTTCTCTAATTACTTTTTTCCAAGGGAGAAACTCTGCTTCTCTTCGAACAACGCTTATTACACGCGTTCGTAAAAGGTAACGTGATAATCGAACCGGCGTTTCGAATAGTTTTGTACAAAAAAATAAGCGTTTCTCGTCGAGAAGCTCGTGATCAAAGAAAGGAACGCTGGCAAGAAGGTATGCTCTAATTGAACCGCGGACACTTTCCCCTTTCTACCGTAATATGTACGTAGTAATTAAGGATGGAACAGGTGTCAGGCTGGAACTCACCACCGAATATCCATACCATAACAGCGGCATTGGTAGGCCTAGGCCGTGGCGCGACCACGTTGACGTAAAGGCAATCCTCGCTGAGCGGCGTGTTCGGATTCCACATAGTCGCACCTGCGAAATCGCCGAACACCGTGTCCAGTATCTGCACGCAGCTATTCGGCAGCGCGGTCGCGTTTAGGATGCCCGACCAACGTTCCGCTGGCCTCGGATGTCGGAACCTCAACGCTCCTGAAACATAATCCCGTCCCGTTCGTCTCCTACGGTTCTCTCCTATCCCGCCTCGTCATTTTTTTCCTTATTTTTCTATTCTCCGAATTTTAGCGCTAAGCCTTGGCAAACGAATTTCGGAATCTTCAGCAGATATCGAGAAAAATTTCAGGCGACAGCAAGACACTCGGATGGACGTCCAATTAATCACGTGTTCGTAGCCGATACCCGATAGACCATCCAAGTTCGACACCTACCGAGAGGCTTCTGGGCGTATGGTATTCCGAACCAGACGTCGACCTCCTTTCCTGTGGTCGCAGTCATGGTCTTACCCTTGACCTTGCCCTTCCTGGTCTGCACCACCAGCGGATCGTCGGTCGAACCGAGGGCGGCCGGTTTGGGCAGCTCCTCGCTCGTCCGAAAACTCTTCGCGTCCTCGTGGGACATGTCCGCGTGGTGTCTACTCCTGTGCGACGGCGAGCACCAGCAGACGTCCAGTTGGACGAGCACAGTTAGGCTTAGCACCATCAGGGCTTCGAACTTCGTCAAGGAACTTCGGTTTCTTGGCATCGTGTCGTCCTCGCCTGAAACAGGCGAGTCACACGTTACCATCGTGCACACGCACCGTTCTTGTCTAACAGTCGCTCTGATTATAACTTCTTAAAAAAAAATCTCACGTAAAAGATACTATCGTAATGGAACATTTTCATTTTCTCCCTTAACGTTTCCCTTCGACGTCGACTATTTAAACGTATAAGAAAGCAAAGTCTGATATGAAAACTCTTGAACGTATTTTAAGGCGAGACGAATCGCACTGCGTCAGTGACGGTGACAGCGCGTCAATCGTTCTCGTTCGAGAGAAGTTTGCATCGAGCAGAACGAGCACGCTTTGTGCGGAACAGATCGCTCGGAAACGATTGTTACCTTCTTGAGGCGAGGATTGCGATTTGGACCGGAATCGATTCGAATCGTCATTCGACTAATTGGAAACGGTGTTGCCCTTTATTCGAACGCGCTCCTCTACAAATGCACCGCCCCGTTTACTCGATAATTAAGCGTGCGCCTATTGTTTCGATCCTTACAGAATTTCTCACGCTCGTTCGACGATTCCTACGAAAATTCGTCAACTCAAAGCGTCGGGAATCGAAAGAATCGTGTGAGGATAAAATTTTCTTTGACGGTCGATTTCGATAAATTCGTGGTAGCAGTTGATCTTTGAAAAATGCAAAATCGACTCGAGGAATCTGATCCGTGCGTCCGTTTGTACGCTGCTTCGCATTTCGTACACGTTTAAAAGGAAATATACCGTGCAGTTCTGTTACGAAGGTCCGCGTTGATTGGTCATTTCCTTGTACGTGTTCTGTGTATGTGGAGCGTGGTGGTCACGCGCGATTACACGTAGTATCGAGGTGTTACACGCGGAAGCGTTCGTGAGAGAAAATAGCGTATTAGCTGTCATCGGGAATGACGATTTATCGTCGTCCGGCTGGACCGCCCGCTAATTAACGCCCGTGGGGAAGCCCGACGTTATCTGCAGCCGTTTTTAAATTTCGACAAAAACACTTGGCCCCGGGAATTAATCTAAAGACACGATCCACGTATAGAACGGATTCTCGTCCTCGATCTTTTACCAGATCACATCATCTCGCTTCTTTTTTGTCGTTATCATTTAGTCATCGGTCTCCGTACGTCATCGCATCTTCGATTTAAACGTTTGTTCTACTCACCGAAACTGTGGGGCGAACGAGACGACGAGGAGCTCCGCAGTTTCCTTCTTTCAATTTCCCTGCTGTTTCTTTTCCACACGAGACCACCGAGGAGATGCTGCTGTCGCGTTGATCGAACGATTACCGACACGCGTCACAGGCTGCGATTCGAATCGAACAAAAAAGCAGGAAGTTCGAGCTAAAAACGCGAGGTGCCTTTCTATCGCGGAGCATAGGCAGACACAGAAGCCACGAACGGGTCCGATGGAAAAATTTAGTTGTCCCCTCGTGTCGCGGTGGCAGCATCGTGCAACGCGCGATATCCCGAGCGACAGCCGACGCGTAACCACTGCGATAATCTGAATAATTGCTCGGCCATCCGGCAACGCGGAATATTTTCCAAGGATACGTACCGATCATGATCTACGTCAACGTTTTCCTCTGTTCAATCTCACGGAACGCGCAAAAAGAGATGGTAAAGCGAAATAAAGTGGTAAAGTAAAATGCCAGGTTCGTTTTCACTGCGAGATTCGATTAGCGCGCTAACACTAACGAGGACTGGAAGATAGTGGTACACAGCGATAATAGCAAGGGCGGAAAAAGGTTCGTCCCTCTCGCTCGCCCCATCTTCTTTTTTTTCTTCTAGTCGTCCGCTCCTTCGGGACAGTGGACATCGAAGTCGGTGACTACCATCCTCTTCAGAGACCCGCGGTTTATACCGACTGATCGATACAGCCATACCTATTTCTCATTTATTTATGCCCTTTTGTCAGCCTCTTTTTTCGCGTTCACGTGATACGCTGGCTCGGCTTCAGCTCGGTTTGCGATACACTCGAAAAGTTCATAGAGTACCCTCGATCCACCCGGTGGATCGCGGTAATCGAGCCCTCCGGATCAAGGGGGGAAAAATGCTTGGTCTACGGCAATCGCTTTCGAACTTGCGATACCGAGAGGATAGTCGATCCCTCATTTGCTACTTTAGATTTTTTACACGTCCACTGGTATTGTTTAAGCTGGACTGATTAACATTATTGATTGAATCAACCGAGAATCGGCAAATTCACTGGCGAGACGATACCAAATAGCGCTAATGAAAGCATTATCGTCGAATTAATCTGATAGGTAATCGGAGAAGATCGAGAGACCACGACATAATCGAATTTAAAGCTAAGATAATAACGGACACGCGTCAGGTGTCGGTATCGGATCAGTCAATAAACGGGGAACCGGGTTCTATTACGTATGCGTTCGTGTAACGAGCAATTCCCGCGAGCGAGTGTCCCGGAAAATGTAGCTACGAAATTTGTCACGCCGCGAAGCGCGCGCGGTCGGCCATCTGCAAATCGAGCCGCTCGATTAACCCGACAAAATATAAACCTCACCCTCGTTGTCCTCCCTCCTCGTCCCGGTGGAATTCCCGAGATTTCGTTTCGTTTTATCGCGCGGCAGCCACCGGTGCGTTATCACCCAGTTTGCGTTATCTGCCCACTGTCCGCGACCTCATTCGTCCGAATTATTATCATCGCCATTGACCCGGCTAATGGTTAACAACGTTGCCACGATAAAGCGAATATTGCTATTTCCTAACGCTCAAATTTGTCTCTTACAATTGGATTTAAATTGCCGACGCCACTTCGAAATGTTGCATTCGAGATAAGTTTAATTGGTTTTACATCGATCCAGCAATTGCTTTCGCAGTTATGCGTCGATCCATTTTTAACGAGAAAATGAGAAGAGGTAACACGGAAAACCGAGGAGAAACGGCGCAAGAAATCGTTTGCACGATGACTGTTTGAATTAATGTAAGGATCGGGGGGCACGCTGACGGTTGCGTGAATAAATCACGGGGCGGGCAGCAGTGGCTCCGTTCGATAATTAATTACGCGTGTGCTGTGTCGACAGGCCGAGGAGGGAAAGAAACGCTGGCAACGAGTTTATGTTAATTTACGAATAAATATGTATTACCGCAATAGCAATTTTTTTCCCTTAATGCGCGCGAAATTGTTCCGTGCAGACCCTCGAGGCTGATCCGAACCCGTCACGAGAACGGAAATAAACGTTGTGTCGGAAGAAAAGGAAATATTGCTCGGACCGTGAACGTGACGCGTTCGTGAAAATGAATTCTTTTCCAAAGTAGTAATTCTAAAATCCATTTAACTTTGAACGTCGGAAGAGGCTTGAAGCGAACGGGTGAGCCGAGGCGGACCATGGACGTTTAGATTAATGTAATTCTCTCCTCGTCGGATATCAATTTTCGCAGCCATCACGTCTACGATCCTGCGTCCCGGCTCGTAATTGAGTCGATCCTCTCGCGATGAATGGCCGACGTAGCGTACCAATTAGACCGGCACAGCAAAGCCCTTACAGGAGCGGGACCAGCGCAGCGAGCTTTGATTTGGAGTTGTTCGATTCGCTTCCTTGCTCAACCTCGGTCCAATTAGTTGCCTACTTCCACGGCTCCCTTCTTCCCGTCAATGCTAATTCATTCCTCAGGCATCGCGAGGTCATTTTTCAAATCCGTGAACGCGAACGAAATCGCGACTTTGCTCAATTAGGTCAATCTCGTTGCCCCCCTTGTTCGATTTCTCGCGTCTCGATATTTCGCACCGGAGTAGCTCATACTTTTATCCTCTCACGAACAGACAATCCGGGCAGTAAAAAATTTAGCTGATTAACGATACTGTTATTCGCGATATTCCCGTTCTCCAACGTAAAGCTGATACGGACATAATCGATGGAGCTGTTCTGGTATAAAAAAGAAGACACAAATCAGGGAAGATTGACGGTACTTACAGTGTCCAAGTTGATGCGGAGGTTGAAGGTATTCGAGGGTGAGGTAACGGCGAAGATGATGGCGGAGGTGGAGGAAAAGCCCTTCCTTCGATCCTGCGAGGGGCAGATCCGGTTTTTTCGCCCTTCCGTCTACATTCCCAGTTCACGGATCATCGCTCGGCTGCAACACAGCGGGAGCGGAAAATTGAGTTCGGGAGTTGCGGCGATCATGAGTGAAAAATTCGATCAGGTGAAAGATCAGGCAGGGAAGGGAAGACGGTTAGGTGGTATTCCCCGTGGGGATTCCGATGCGGGCAAACCGACGGGTCGTCAAATTTTTTCCCTCGAGAGAACCTCGTCGCCGTTTCCGTAGGGACATGTCGTCGGACACGGGTATCTACGTATATGTACGTGGCTCGAACGTCAAAGCTAAGATACACGCGAACGAGAAGCCGGGAAATTCGGTCCGTAAAATCGTCGAGAGAAGTACAAGAAGGAAGAAAGGCACCGAGAGAGGAAACATCAAGGGAGTCACTGCGTTATATCCCCCTTCTCGGAAAATCGTTCGCAAAGTACTTTTCCTCGGAGATACCCATTTTGTGTCGTCCCAGTGGCGACTCGCTCTCGAGATTGAAACCGCTGCTATTATTTCGCGAGTCACCAAAATAATATTAAACATCGCTTATGCTACTGATTCGAAAGTAGAGACCGATTTTCTTTTAGAAATACTCGGATCCTACCTTCGAGAGAACAGAGGGATCTCATAAAGCACGGAGTAACGTTTTAATAAATCCATGTATGAGATTGTTATTGAGAGAAAAAAAGGGAGACTCAGGTTCCGGTCCATTGGCCAAGAGGATTCCCGTAAATTCCGGCTCGGACGACTTAGGAACCGGGCAAATAGACCGGGGCGCACACGTATGCCGAGGAATTTCTAATAAGCGTACGTCCCACTTTCGGAATTCATTTCGAGGCACCTCGCCTCGCGAGAACGCAGATAATGAATTTGGATTGCGTTGGCAAGATATTCACCCGATCTCCTTCAACGCGGTTCTCCTCCAACGAGATATCACATCTCGGTTCGTAATTATTACGTTACACGGAAACTTACGAAACGGGACGAATCGTATTAAGGATGTATTGGCTATATAGTCAATCTCAGAAGTTTATGCACTTTAAAAACGCATTTTTTAAAAAGAAATCAGACGTCGGAAGAATATTGCTAATAATAAACGACCAAAAAAAATTTTCGATTTTTCCGATATTTTTCCAAGGGGTACCCCTTCAATTTCTTCCAAATTTTCGTTTTTTGACAATAACTCCCAAACCGCTGGTCCTACAAGAAAATTGCATAGGACCTTTCTTGTAGAGGACGACGAGATCTACAATTTCCATGTAAAAATATTTCGCTAGCATCAATAGTTAACGAGTAATTTGCAAAAAACTGTTTTTTCGTTTTTCGTCAATAACTCGTAAACTATTAATGCTAGTGA